AAACCTAATATTGAATTTACATTACCCCGATGCAAATTCCATCTTATTAATAATTAATATATTTTAAGTTATCCTTCAAGCGTGAGTGGAACACGGAATAATGTAGTGCGTCTGTGTCCCGGCTGAGTGGTATGTGGGATTATAACACCTCACCCACAGATTCTGTGTCTTGATTGGCCGAGAGCAAGTCACATGATACTTTCTATTTTTGCTATTTTTCTGTACACGGCCCAAAGTACTATGCCCATAGCAACCAAAGTACTATACCATTAGCAACCAAAGTACTATTTCCACGGCGAGGTATTTGTGTGCAAATGCATCCTGGTTTGCGCGTTGTGCGTAGCGCGTTTTGTTCCAAAGAGAGCGCGCCACAGAGTTGGGTTCAAACATTTCGTGAAGGGGTAGTTTGGAAGAGAGTTTGGAAGAGAGAAATACATTTTCCACCAATTTTGTATTGAAATTGAAGTCTATTTCAACTGTATTCAGATTTAAATAATTTAAAATCTTAAAACCAAGCAGAATCTGTGGGTGAAGTGTAATAAAACAAATATTGAATGCTTTATCTCGTGGTGAAGTAAAACTAGCCTCCCTCGGTGATCCATGGAGCATTCTATTTTCCGTCCATGGATCACCTCGGGGGGCTAGTTTTACCACACCACTCGAAGCATTCAATATTTGTATACCACTGATCTCTGTACTAGACTGGATAGCTTATACTCAGCCGCACAATGAATGAATTTGACGCCATATTGGTGAGACCGGCTGGTGATCTACAAAGGACAAGTTGCCGTTTTTATGGACAGCATGATTTCTTTTGTAAAGTCGCGGTTCACTTGACTTATATTTTGACCACCACCACTGACCAAGGTTAACTACAATTTTTCTAACGTCGTGGTTACTAAAATGAAGCAAATATCACTTTTTCGGCGTTTTGAAATAATAATCACTACGGAAATGTGTCCCTTTTAGAACATCATAATATGTGTACGTGACCAAAATGCGCGTCAACTGTTGATACAACGCGCGCGTATTTACGCGTAGAACGTTCGTATTATACGCATAGATATAGAACTTCAAATAACGTTTTTTTAAGTTCTATATCTATGATTATACGCGGCCATCTTCGTGAGACCGGGCAAGAATTGGTCAATATGCAAAATCTACTGTGTGAATGTTGTATGCATATCCTCTATCCAGTCTTTATATAGAGATCAGTGTGTGGGACACGGACGCACTACATTTTCTGTGTTCCCCGAGCGCGAGCGTGAAAACGAAGTTATCTTCCATAGATATAGAACTTAAAAGTTCTATATCTATGTTTATCTTCAAGCAACCTTGACGCGCAGTACAGTTGGAATTATAACACCTCACCCACAGATTCTGTGTCTTGATTGGCCGAGAGCGAGTCACATGTTACTTTCTAATTTTGCTATCTTTCTGTGCACGGCCAAAAGTACTATACCCGTAGCAACCAAAGTACTATACCATTAGCAACCAAAGTACTATTTCCACGGCGCGGTATTTGTGTGCAAATGGATGCTGGTGTGCGCGTTGAGCGTTGCGCGTAGCGCGTATTGTTCCAAAGAGAGCGCGCCGCAGACTTGGGTTCACACATTTCGTGAAGGGGTAGTTTGGAAGAGAGAAATACATTTTCCACCAATTTTGTATTGAAATTGAAGTTTATTTCAACTGTATTCAGATTTAAATAATCTAAAATATTAAAATCAAGCAGAATCTGTGGGTGAAGTGTTATAAAACAAATATTGAATGCTTTATCTCGTGGTAAAGTAAAACTAGCCTCCCTCGGTGATCCATGGACCATTCTATTTTCCCTCGGCTTCGCCTCGGGAAAATAGAATGGTCCAGGGATCACCTCAGGAGGCTAGTTTTACTACACCACTCGAAACATTCAATATTTGTATATGAGCCCACTGTACATGAGCTGCGCATGCAGCTGGAATGTCACTCGCATCTTGGAATAGCGCAATACGCAGGGTGCGATATGGACCATGCGATACAGCCTCATATCACACTGTTGTTGCCATGGATCGACCAATCAGGATGGAGGATTCAAGTATACTTGAATATAATATTAGTTATCCCACTCCCGTTCGTGGAACACGGAAAAATTCAATGTAGTGCATCTGTGTCCGACATGCATTTGGCCAAAAGCCGAGTGGTAGTGAGATGCAGACGCACTACATTTTCCGTCTTCCACGAATGGGAGTGGGAAAACACGTTTATCTTTAAGCAAACTTGATGCACAGCTGCAGTGAAAATTGAACACGCACACTGTACTTGAAATTTTCAGCAGTTACGTTATTACATGCGCGTGTTGTAGGGAATGGCGAGCGCATCTGAGCAATGCGAGCGGTATGGACCGTGGCCGTGCTACAATTATATGTTGTTGCCATGTATCAACATGTATCAACCAATCAGGATCAAGGATTCAAGTTTACTTGAAGATAAATATATAACAAAATGGGAAATGCTGGGGATGTTTAGCCAATTTACTTGCATTTATTTCCCTCGTCAAAAATAAGTAAAAGCACGCAAATTGACACATACATGTTTGCATTAAAGAAAGGGACAAGGGTTCCTTATTGGGCACTATGGCTAGGAAATTAATCTTAAGAGATTTAAAATGGCCGTTTTGTTTCCTGTTTTTATATTATTTTGGACTTTGGAAAAAAAATGTTTAAGTGTGACTTATGGTGAAAATCATGAGCCTCTGGCGATGGCAGGAGTGGGAGATGATAGCCACAGTGAGCAACAATGGCAGAGCCTTCCACCATCATGAACCATACCCACAACACAGACACATGAGATCCCATCAGAATGGGGCCAATGATTGGTGGAAGCATGTTGGCAAGGATATGCTCCAATGGATGGGCATAGATGGCTGTCACTCCAATAGGTGCCGTCCACTCATGGTGCTTCTTATGGAAATGTCTGTACATTCGTGGGTGATGCAGGAGTCTGGGTATAAGACAAAAATCACCATCTCAGTTTTGTTATTCAGTACAAGGCAAGGAGCACTGCTGTTTTGAGTCAATTAAGTGAAAACAAAAAATTGAAGTACAACCCACATCTGAAAATTCCTTTCTCATTTTTCCCACAAATTGTGTCCACCTGAACTTATTGACAGTGAAGATCGAGGATGAGCATTATCCTGTAAAGGTAACTCCCTCAAGAACATCATGTACACTGAGCAGTCTAATTCACTTCAGCAAACTTGGAATTGAAAGACGACATGCGCTGGGACAACTCCATTTTCAAATTTCAATTTTTGTTGAAAACTTTAGTACATGTATCATGCTGGAACTGGTGAACTCTTACATTGTACATGTACATGTAAATCTACGTACATGTACACGTACGTAGAGGTGTTCAAAATATTTCCTGAGGAAAGTAAGATAAAGACATCTTTTTTGAAACAGGGATATTCCCGGGGCAAATTTCACGAAACTCGTCATGTCTTACGACTCGTCTGCAGATTTAAGACGAGTCCCCGCTATAAGATCGATCCTCTAAGCTAAGATGCACCTTAGGATCGATTTCAATAAAAGCATCTTCAAAGAAAGACGTAAAGGAAATACAGTTAAGGGAATTGCTATTTATTGAACGAGGACCAAATTGCCAATTTGACAGATGTTTCATGTTTGACGGACGTTAATAAGAATTAAACACGCAAAACCAATTTTCTTGTGCGTTCATATAACATGACGTTTCACCTGAAAAATAATTATTGCTTATAATTATAGCATTACAAAGTCACACTTCACAGGATACCATTGATACCCTTCATTATGATTGTCCATAATAACGGGGAATGTTATTTATTAGGTGTACATGTAGGCCTACATGTATATCATCATAAATTTTAAAAGTTAGAAATGAATTATTATTATAATTAATCGCACGTCAGAAACCTTTTCATAACTGTTTCTACAGCAGTTTTCCCCCTCTTGCCTTCAAATTAAATTTTGGAACTGTCACGAAAATACCCTAAGGCCGAAACTGATTTCGAGATGATATACAAATTAATTCCCGAATCACGATATAAGATGACCCTTAGACCGATCTGAAGTAGATGAGTACAGCGGCATCGCTAAAGAATTTAGAACATGGTGAATGCCGGTGTCACATGAAAATCCGACTCCTATGAAAATCGGACCCCTATTTCCCTACTATTGGTTGATCCCTCGCACGTGACAGGTCACTCTCCCGAAACGATCCTAAAAATAGCATGGTATCGTACTCACGCGTGCGCAGTACTACCAATGAGTCCACATTTCATGGAGTCGGATATTCACGCTACACCGGCATCTAAAGTTTGGTGAATTGGATCCTAGGGTGAGTCGTGAGTTGTAGTCTCTTTCTCAAACGTCTCTTAGTCTATCCTTAATTTTTCCCCTGGTTGTCAAGATGATCCTTTAACCCTTTGTCTCAGACAGTGTTAGAGTGTCAATTTTTGCTGGTTGGCCAATACTCTCCATATGACAAAGGGGAGGATTTGAAGGCTGCTCAATTGCATATCAGAGGATTTGCTTGGCATTCCTTGTATATATAGTGTGCGGCTGCTCATCCCTGCAGCCACAAACAAGCATGGAAGCATGCACTATTCAGGTCAATATTAACTGCCCACCTGTGAAAGTAGTAGAATCCGATCTCCTCAAAGATCAGGAAGACACCCATCTCCACCAGGACCCATTTGAATGTTGGCAGGTCAGCACTGATATTGCAACCACAGTACCAATGCAAAGGGGATGTTGACAAAGACCTGGTTGAAGAGCACAGTCTGCAGGGCCTTCTTCAACTTGGGCCAGGGGACATATTTTTTACAATGTTGACATACTTTTCAAAAAAGTTGTGATGTATTTCATAATGTTGGCAGTTGCCGTGCAGGGTTGAATAAATTCCGCTTTGGCGTGCCATAGTTGAGTTTTCCGCTGGAGCACGAGCACGTCACATGCACTGATCACATGTCACATGACGTAATGTCAACAAAACCGTACCCATCCAGAAAAAAACGCAAGCGTACGGAGCGGACGTAGGCCAACATAATTTTTGCTCGCTTTTCCCCCATGCTTAAGTTTTATCAAGAAAAATTAGCCTAGATTTCTTCAATTGGTGTATTATCCTCTGAATTTTGCATCTGGTGTTCGACGTCAGTTAAATAAAGGTAAGTTTATAAGTAATAAATGAATGACGGAAACTAGCCCCACTACTACTACTATTGTTGATGTACCCTAACGTGGCGCGGCCCCTAACGTGGCGCACTTTGATTTTTCGCCTGTAGCGCCTACCTAGAGCAAAAGTTTTAACTGAAATTTCCAAGAAAGTGAAATTTCATCAAGTTCTAAACACTCCTCTTCATAAATCGCGAGTTTATTTACCCGTAACAAAGTTAGAAGAACAATTTATTTTGGCGTGATTTTCCGATTCGCAGTGGCTATTGTTACGGCAGCCGTAACGCATTTCCCATTTTCTATCGTTACGGTAGACTGCAACCTGGCAACTTTTATAAAAAAACATGACAAGAAAATATAAAATTAGAAGGAAAAAAGTGAATTTGAACTTTATGCAATTCGGACTTTATTTCCCTTTTAAAAAAAATCCTCCAAAGCCTCAGGTTAGAAAAGGAAAAAAAATTGAGTGCAAAACTGAGATTCGAACCCGCAACCTCGCGGTGCAAAATCCTACCCTCTATCGGCTGAGCTGGCGCACTGCTCAATAAAACGTGGGGAAACAAATAATTATATACCCGCGGGCGTATCAAAAAAATATCGTAGAGGGCGCTAAACAACGAGTGCCGTAACGATAGCCACTTCGTTTCCGATTTTATTTTCAAGTGCAAAGTGAACCCTTTAAAAATGCCCCGAAAAATAAGAAAATAATTTTCTGACAAACATCTGGCTGGGCATGTAAGTAGAGATAATAATTGTTTATCAGAATTTATCAAGTTAACAGAAATTCTTAAATGTTAAATTGGAATTTTCCGGGATTTATTCAAGTGCGCCACGTTAGGGAACACTCCGCCAATTTGTGCCCAATTTCCGGACGCCACCGTTTTTGAATTTCGGATTAAATTTTATAAAACTGAAATTGTTCACAGAGGTTAAATAGCAAGCATTAATAAGGTAAAAGTACTAGTGTTTTACTGCATGAATTTGAGGTTTGTCAACAAAGAGGTTTGGCAACACTGCACGAGGAAAGTCGGGTAGGCTTCGAAGTGCGCCACGTTAGGGAACACGACTATACTCAGCTAAAGTAGCTGGAGCTTGGAGAAATGGCTGGAGTTACCTAGATACAACGCCACGCTGTTGTGTATTTTTGATTGAACCTAGCGAAATCGATCCGCCATACATAACTCCGTATGGATGTTGAGTACTCACCTAGGAATCTAAATTTGCCCGTCCGATTGTTCAGGCTGTGGGAGCAACTATAGAATGCAGGGCCACGCCGGAGCAAGTTTTTTTTTTCTGCTTGGAGGCGTGGATCGAGGCCAACGATGTGAGGATAGGACTAGGAGTAATGGCTACAAAAAGTACAATATAATAATATGCAAACCTGCAAAAAGTGCTAAGTACAGCAAATGCACTTGTCTTCTCATCAATGATCGGAAGGGAGGGCGTGCTTGTAAATGTGTCGGAGCACGGAGCCACGGAGTGAGTCGCGGAGACGCACGCCGATAGAGGGCGCAATTCTCTGCGGTATTTTTTTGAGAAGGAAGCATCCATATCCATTTTTAATTTCCTCGCAAAGGAAGGGAGGAGGGCGACGAGGCACTGGAGTCACGGAGTCGCAGAGACGCGGGGCACTGGAGTCGCGGAGGCGCAGAGTCCCAGAGACGCGGGGCACTGGAGTCGCGGAGTCGCAGAGACGCGCGCCGATAGAGGGAGCAATTCTCGGCTGTATTTTTTTAGAACGAAGCATCCATATCCATTTTTAATTTCCTCGCAAAAGAAGAGAGGAGGGCGACGGGGCACTGGAGTCGCAGAGACGCGGGCACTGGAGTCGCGGAGACGTGGGGCACTGGAGTCGCGGAGACGCGGGGCACTGGAGTCGCGGAGTCGCAGAGACGCGCGCCGATAGAAGGCGCAATTCTCGGAGGTAGGTCGACTGTGGCTCCACGCCTCCACGCAGCCGTACGGAGGCGCGGATGTAGAGTGTAGTGGCCCTGCATTCTTTAGTTGTACCAGGCTGTGTAATTTCGACGAAATTTGCCATCAATAAAGACCCATACGAACTTGTAGAAATTAGATTTTAACCTGACAAGTGACCCTGACAAATAACCCCAGACGAGTACCAGGGTCATTTCCGTGCAAAATTATCGGAACCCTCTGAGCTACCTATCTGCTTCCTGTCGCTTGGACAGATTGACGGCTGTTTCATGTCACAGCCCCGAAAAAAACCCGCAGACGATTGGCTGCTCGGCTCATCTCGTGTTCGTGTGCGCCCGCGTGCGGTGCAGTGAGAGAGGAAAGGACTTGAAACTTGTCTAAAACGATGACTCTTCTAGCTGCGACAGTAAACAGCCGTCGAATCATACGAAACAGGACGGTACAATAAAACGCAATGCGCATGCGTCAGTTGGGAGAAAATGGCAGCTAGCAGGACTTCATGAACCGGGGCCAGAATTTTCCTCAAATTTCGTCAAATGCAAGTTTTGACGTACAAACAGATTTCAAGACAGCTTCATATGTGAGTACTTATTACATGGGCAAAATAACGTCCAGTGTGTGTAACGGAGGGAGTCAGAGGGACAATTTTGCCAGGTTCGAAAATACACAACAGCGTGGCGTAGTTTACAAATACATGCCACGTTCATGGGTCTAGAGTTACCCAGCCCTAAATTTTTATCATTGGGTTGTCATTTAGGGCTGGAGGAAGTTTTTCACTCGAACCAGCAGCGTTGGCAGGTCCCAAAAAAAATTGCGAAGTAAAAAACGATCCACGATGAAGATTCAGCCTACAATTGCAGTGAAAAAAGGAGGAATAACCGACAACCGTGCAGGCATGGTGAGGACTGCAATTGGATTTGTGCACAAACAAACTGCGTGTACAATGAATGGCGGTCGATTACCATGCACAGCGTACTGGTACCAGTCGTTTTTGCCAGCTGCGCCTGCTGTTGGCGCATGACGTCACGCGGAAGCGTAACACCCGATGACTGTTTCATGCACTAACATGAGGTTTACCATTCGCATCACGGCTGCGGTACTGGAACGGCAAAAAAGTGCATAAAGTGCATAAAACAGTCATCGCTTCTGCGTGACGTCATGCGCCAACAGCCAGCGCGCGCAGCCGGCAAGAACGACTGGTACCAGCGCGCTGTGCATGGTAATTGTACACGCAGTTTGTTTGTGCACAAATCCAATTGCAGTCCTCACCATGCCTGCACGGTTGTCGGTTATTCCTCCATTTTTCACTGCGATTGTAGGCTCAATCTTCATCGTGGATCGTTTTTTACTCGAGGACCTGTGTACATGTAATGGTTATTCCAGGCAAATTCGCAATTTTTTTGGGACCTGCCAACGCTGCTGGTTCGAGTGAAAAACTTCCTCCAGCCCTAAATGACAACCCAATGATAAAATTTAGGGCTGGGTAACTCCAGCTAGTCAGCTAGTGTGGCCGCGGTATGCTGCGCTCAGGAGGATATAAGGATCGAGGAAATAAGGGTTGAATCAATCCCGAGTGCAAAAAATGATGAAAAAGTCCCCTTTCCATACCGAAGCTACCGCTTGAGTGTTAAGGTTTAAACGTGCGCACGCGCGCGAAGCGTTGTTGGCAAGACGTCATAGTCTTTTGGTCTGGAAACCGACCACAGACAGCGTCTTTGAAGCGCATATCGCGGGCGGCGTCAGACGGGCCAATCACGAGGCCACGTGATAAATGCTGCGGATAATTTGGTATCGCACTGACGCTCCGGGCACTCCTCATGTCCGGATCGTTAGTGCAATTCCAAATTATTAGCAGCCTTTATCACAGTAGACTGGATCACGTTTGTAAACACAAGTGCATTTCGAACGATAAAAAGGGAGTCGGGAACTAGCTTGAACTGGTTTCCGTCCATGAAATCTGCCCTATATGTAGTTCCGGACTCCCTATTATGGTTCGAAATGCACTTGTGTTTACAAACGTGATCAGTCTACTCATTATCATAATCGATACATCGCGCGCGCGCTCGCTAACGGAATCGCACTCGGGATACGGGGACCATAGAATGTACGCTAGGCATGAAGACCACATCGCGTTGTTCAAACATTAACACGAGTCGGAAATTTGGGACTATAGCGCCATGGTCAGACTTAGTGTCAGTCGCTTTCTTCATCGAGATTGGAACCTCGGACACTTGCTTGAAAGACCAGAATTTTACCACAAGACAATGCGCACGATCGCATGCCATTGCAATGATCAGTCTTCGGACGTATTTGAAGAATCCATTGAAATAAACTAAATATTCATGAGAAATTAATTATTCATAATGAGGTATTGCACTATCATTGGCCGGCTAATGACATGTGTTGTCGTGGCTGTCGATGTCGTGCGTATTTACGTACTGCTGTCTTCCAGACACTTCAATCAATTTGACCGGCTGCCTCCAATATTATTCTGCACGACATGTGCGTCTAAAATGTGCTCTTAAATTTATTAAGTAAAAACAACTTTTTCCTAAAATATTTCGCATTTGCGTGTCTTCCTGGATTCATCTTGGGTGAAATCACAAGGTGAGGCGTCAAGGTTTTATTATATGGCCGGCTGTAATTGTATTACAAAACACTGCATTCGAATCGACCAATCAAACAGTTATAGGCCATCAGCTTGGGGGTTTGGTCAGTATCAAATCAGGGCATAAATGATTATAGTGCGCATGCGCAAGGTATACCGCCCCTAAAGTGGTAACAAGCATTTTGATGGACATTTTGAAAAAAGGGTGATAACACTTAAAAAGCTGCCACCGCTGCAATGCTATCACATATTTTCCAACTCTGGAGGTGTATAGGCCTACCTTGCCAAAAATTGCTATGACGATTATTCCTCTCATTTGATACCGGTTGCCAAAATTTTGGACCGAGGCTGATGGCCTATTAGTCCTGATTTGGGAATGAAATGATGTCACAATTTATTAAAGTCGACCCAGATTGGCTGAGGCGCGGGATCGCATATTAAAATCTGCATGCTTAGATATATCATTATCAGACGTTATACAGGAGACTGGGCTCTGTGGATAACAGGTGATACTCAGACTAGGGGAGGGGGGACATACATGTACCTTGGTGAGCAATAATGCGAGTGCAAAGCCCTAACATTGTGGGGTTCTGCTAAAGAACCCCGATATTTTTGTTTTAGCAAAAGATCATCTTCTACAAATCAGTTTCGAGATTGGAGTCGTTGTATCAGCTATTCTGAGCTGTAGAATTTATGATTGTAGTAGGCTACAATTTTCATTCGGGGACAAACAAAAGTGGGGGGGGGGTGGGACAAACGATATGATATTCTTCCCCCCCCCCCCCCCACTTTAATATGTGGGGGGGGGGACTTGTTCCCCCCCCCCCCCCTTTGGTCCCATTTATGAATTTATAAATCTTCCTGTGCTACCCGCATGCAAAGAAACCAAACTGTGCACAATAAATACCAATTTCCATTCCCAAATCAATATAAATTGTGCAACTGCATTCTTGGCAGCAGTTCAGGTTTAGCCATCCCCAATTAGGGGTCTTTGGTCCAGTGAATTGTGTTGCGTTCAGAATTTGGCATCCATTCAATTTCTTTCTTTTGCCTGTCATGAAATCTTTGGCATTTTTCCAAGGACTGTGCATGATGTCACCTTATAGGCCTATTGAATTTGTGCAAACGTGTGAAAAACCTATAGGCTTACTGGACATTTTAATACAGATGCAAATTCCAAGGTCACTGTTTCTGTCATTTGTATGTAGTCACGGGTCTATGTGTTTTGCAAACTGCATCAGACCTTCATTTTTTTGAGGAGTGCAGTTGTGCAGACTCCAACCACACTTCTCGTCTGTTTTAGAGGAGCATAAAATTGCGATCCCAAATAGCAAAGAGAGGCTTTTACAATCTGCAGTTGAAATTTCAAAGTAGCTATACTGAGAGCTTGTTTTCCTTAAAAATTGCATCACATGGCCGCCATTTTGTTTTACGTCTTAACAAATTTTGAGAAGAGGTCCGACGACTCTTGAATATGTTAAATATCAGACGACTATTTACTGTATGCTGAATAAATACATAAGACAGTCACCGAGTTGTACTATAATACACCTACAACGTGTCGCACTTATGATGTGTTTTGTGAAATGGATCGGATCGCCGGACGCATCGCAGCTGCGTCGCAGCGCTGCGATGTATCGTATGTTACGGTGAGTTATATGAAATCGGGTGCTGAACACAGTCAGAGCTGATGGAAGAGCTAAAAAGGAATAGGATTTGTTTGTCATAATGTACAAAACTCACATCAAAATGACACCATGAAAAATATGTACTGTACCATTGCACAACAATAAGCTATACATGTATGGGCAATTCCATGAGAAAGTGGACACGTCTGAACAAATGAAAGAAACATTAAATCTACAAAACGAAATTAAAGGGAACAACAAGACCTATCAATTGAAAATGACATGTATGAATGAACAAAATGTATTCAAATATTGCCAGCATTAGAACATTTGCGCTAAGTAAGAATGATTGTTCACGACGTTTTCTGCGACTTAATTTATAAAACTTGATCTGCCTTTTCCGTGAATGTTTGTTTTCATTTCTGTATTTTGAGGTTTCATTTTGATTTCTGTAGCCCTGGTATTGTTTACAATAATCCTCCAGGTGGGAAGTCAATCTAGAGTACTCTGTCAATCTTGTAGGGCTGTCTCAAATATTGGATTGTTCAATCATCAACTGAATATCCAAATAGCATAAAGGTATCATACTTGTAATGGGATTTTCAGTTACAATTTTGAAAATAAATTGCAAACCTACTGGTAGCTACCCTAAATAATCATTAAAGTAGAGAGCATTGCTGCCTAGTAAATTGTCACAACATGCAGACTTTAAGTTTGACGTCAGATTGTGCCATCAATCTTGCCCAACCCAGCACGATACTTCCCATGACTCCCCAGGAAACATGACAAATATGCACATAACCCTGGGGTTAGTACTGTAGGGGGGTACACGAATGACGTCAGTGAGATGACATACCAGAGGGGCCAGTTGATGTACATGTGTTTTGATTTCTTGACAGATGGAGTGTGCTACTATGAGAGAAGAAAGCTGCTGTGCTGGGCCTAGCAGGCTACCAGCTGATGATAAACCACAGGAAGTCAAGGTTGGCATTACTCAGGTAACCAACCAAATGAATCATTTCAAACTAATCATCAACTGTCTGAAGATTAAATTCTACATTTTGATAGCTACATGTAGTTCAGAGACACATTTCGTTATATTATTATAAAAACTAAAAAAATCTATGTAATTGCCTCAAATTACCGTATGTTGCCTGTAGCCTCAAGAAACTGCACCAATGTTTTATTACTTAAAATCCTTAAGTAAAGACAGGAAAATTAAACCTGTCTTTACTGTGTACCATAATAATTTCAGACTATGTTAGACACTGAAAGATGAACCATATGTTATGAATTTGTTGACTTGTTAGATTGGGGTGTGGGGTGGAAGGAGAGTGAGTGGTAGACTCTAACTAGGAGGAATAAATGTTGGGCGTTCCAGCAAAATGAGACAAAACTGCGCAGAGGTCCAAATGAGGGTTTGCAGGTGTTAGGAAAGAAAATAAAATTCTCCTAACAATACTGTTTGTCGGACATTCCGTTGACAAGTTATGGTTGTGTATTAAAAGTGAGCAAATATCAACATTACCGAGGGCAAGGCATTTAAAGTTTTGAGGTTTGTAGTTGAGAAAGTATAAGAGACCGGTTGTTTTTCCTTACAAACACCTTTGTGCAAATGTCAATAAATCTGAAAATGGAAAAAAAATCAACCCCACAATTGGGTGTTTTTTTTTTTTTCCCCTTCAATTTTCTCCACTGAATGGGTTCTCATTTTGCAAGAATGTCTCACAATTTCGCTGAGGTTGCAATACCGTTCGTTTTGGTGTCATTGGGCATTCCATTGTAGTTCCATTCGATTTTACCATGTTAGTCACTTGGCATAATTGAACATATCCAAATATTCTGACAATATTTTGTTTAGAATCGTGCTGAGCTGATGAGCCAATGGGCAGACACTGTCAAGAAAGTTGTCTTCATTGTGGGAGGGGCCATCATTGTCTTTGCTGCAGCATGTAACTCCCTCACCTGGCATCTTGAGTCATTCTGGGGTGCTTCCGGTGACTTCTGGAACCGACAGTGGATGAAGATCTACAACTTGTTTGGCGGCAATCTCTTCATGCTTGGAGTAGTAGGTGGGCAACATGGCTCAATATTACATGTGTAATGGAGGTTTTCAACCGCCATACGCAGTAAATCTTTTGTGCATTTAATGGTAAAGCCGGAGTCCATCATTTGCAGCTATCCAAAAAGTAACTGGAGTAATTATTGTTGAAAAACATACTGGTTGAAAGATAGTAAGGGGACTAAACTCTCTGTGAAATTATTCTTTCTGGCAAGCTCTCATTTTAAGAAATCAACGAAAGAAGGCATTTCCAACGGTGCGTCTTAAGAAGCACGGTAGGAACATTTAAATAAGTAGTTCGTTTTGTTATTCGGCGCAGCGTGCGCAAGCATTGGCACGATGCACAGGCGCGCGCGGTTGCTATAATTCGTCGGATCAGTGCGCGGCATCGCGTAAAGCTGCAATTCAAAACAATTCTAAACATGATTTAGTAACTTTTGATTTGAATTGAGATCCTAGAATGCTGTTTTTCTCGGAATATACAGCTGAAGCTGAGCTGAAACTTCATGAGGTTAGTTGTTCAGTATCCTTCATTAGATTTTGAACACTTTTGTTGCTTCAAACGAACAAAATGCACAAATTACAAATGATGGACTATGTCTTCAAGGTATAATATTGTGAAAGCTAAATGTTTATAACTGCCCAGTCACAGTATGAAGGTGTTCTGAGGCATGTGTCTAGTTGGAGCTGCAGTGGGCACACACACTCATGCATGGATTACGTGCAAGCAAGCAGATGACATACATGTACATGTAGCCTCAGTCTTCAGCCATACATATTTCAGCACTATAAACCACCCTGAATCCTTCAAAATCCTCTTTGCCACAGTGGAGGAATTTGGAGGATTGAGATTACATGTACATGGCAAAAGTGCGTTACTGATTTCATAGGATGCACTTTGTCAAGGTCTTGGGCTGGACCTTGTGTTGTTTTTGCTCAGCCAGGCCTGGATTATTCCGAATTTTGTTGGTTTTGAAATCAAAAAAACTATACGTTTGATAAAGTAAATAATTTTACATCATTTTCAATGAAATTTGTCTGATAGGAAGAAAATACGGCTGAATAAAAAAAATAAACAGTTGTAAGAAATTTTCCTCTGCTCGCACCTGCCTGGGCTGCTAGCTATACTGTGTACACGTGATGCAGCTACAAAGTACCAGCTACTACACGTACACACAATTCACCGACTTGTACAGCGCGTGTACGTACAGACTTTTACAGTCACACACCAAAAAAGGCGGGTCTTGTGGGCAAAATACACCGTGACAATCGCGGCTTACATGTAGCTAGATGCGTATTGAACCTTTCTCCAAAGCAACACATCTAGACGTTTTGACGAACAAGTACTTTTCAGTGCAAGTAGGCCCTTGGTACAATGTACGTACATGAGCTTGAAAATATGACACTTTTTTTACCATACCGTTTTCATGGTGTTACGTTTCACAAAGTTGCATATAAAATCATATGGGCGGCTGGCTGCGCGCTCGGCCCGTTAGCTTTGCGTATCACAAAACCTTCAAACAATTTGGTTGATTCTGTCCTATTTTTCTCCCCATTACATTGTGAAAGTAAACCTGGAAACAATTAGGAAAATATGTTAGTTTGCTATTTAAAAATCCTCAAAGTAGCTTCTTTGAGGATGTCATCTTGGGTTGTTGTTCATTGTTGTTGTTTTTTTGGAGGGGGAATGCAATCTCACGCTCCGTAGAATTGGCCCCTGAACATGGATAGCAATCTAACTTAAATTTGTGAACAAAACATTGTTAGAATTTTGTCAGTGGTTAGACTTTTTGGAATGTTTAATCATTTTTTATACTTTTGACCGAAAAGGTATTCATGAGTGGGAATAAATATGTGGTTGGCCGGTTTTAAACAGTATGTTTAAGACCTGTTTGGAGTCTGGATGCTGATTATTACCCTTGCCTTCAGCTCGGGTCATTATCCGCATCCAGACTCCAAATCCAGTCTTTAACATAGTGTTTTAAACCGGCAAACCACACACTTAATCCCTTATTCATATCATGATACTAAATTATGTAAATTTTTTGTTTTTTTTGTCAGGTACTGAGTTGATTACCTTTACGTTCTACTGGCTGTTCAATGCATTCTTCCTGTTTGTTGATGTGACTGGTCGACCAGCCTTCATTCTCAAATACAAGATACAGGAAGATCAGAACACACCGGTAGGCCACCCTCCACCCACCTCTCATTGCTTCCTCAATCCACAAATTCAAAGTCACTGTGTGTAACTTGTCAGCCATAAATCTACATCCACAAGACTTTGGATTAAACAAGGAACAGTTGAAATAAGGCATATTTTGAAATTGAATCTGCTTTGTTTTACTATTGGGCGAATCCACGCCGGAATCGAATAGAATCGACCCCAACCTCGGAATCGGAATCGCGATTCCGCTTTTTTGAGGAATCGATTCTCAGATGTAGCCGATTCCAGTTCCCCGAGCGTCGATTCCAGTTTTCGCGCGACGATTTTGAAGACTGGCCAACTCAAACGCGCCTTCAAAGAACATCCGATTCTTTAACAAAACGGCCCCTTAACAGTTTTAAAAGTATGCAGTGCGTCAAAGACAAACTGATAGTACATCTCTCTGATGAAGCCGTCCTCTTACAAAAAGCTTTAACAGCTCCACGGCATATTAAATATCACAAAGTGAGCTATTTTATTTGTGTAATACAGAGGCAGCCGGCGCCGCGCTGGAACGGCCTATTTGTCGACGTGGCCGCGCCTGCCTGCTGCTACACATTTTCTCACGAAATGATTTTCTTTCTTTGACGTAAACTGTTCATTTGTCTCAGCAAATCAGGTTTTCCTTTCATCACAGGAATTTTTCACAGCCACTGGAAACGGTATGCAGCTCCCGAAAATTTGAAAAGATTGTTGTAAAATCCAGGAAGAAAACAGTTTGTCTTGGATTATTTTGTCCTTCCCCATCAAAAACCAATACAGCCCTGAACTTACGTTTGAAACAACCGGCAAGTGGCTATGAATCGCCGGCTATTTTCGAAAAACAAATCCCTGCATTAAATATGGCAAATATGAACTGCAAAGTTCCACATGCATACGAGGTGAAAAATCATTCCCATAAAGCATTTCATACCTAAAAACCACTGTGAATAAAACACCAGCCGAGCGTAAGCGAGGGGAAAATCTGGGGCGCCCATGTACTCTGTAATGTGGAGCGATCACGTGTTTTGACAACCAATCTGTATTTCTCATCTCGGGAATTCCCTTTGTAGATGAGCACGTGCTGAGGGCCTGTGTATGCTGTCATTTGATGGGCAAGTTGGTCTCGTTTTCCCCTTTCACGACCCAACCACGTGATGTTTTTATGTGCACATCGTGCCGCGTTTGGCTTGCGCAATCGCAATGGACCGATCCAGTAAGCCCCTCCCACTGCGCACGTGGGCAAAGTAACACGTGATTCTTTCCAATGCCACGCTGCATTTTCCTGCCGCGCGAATCATACGCGCATGTCGGAATTTTGTGCACGCATGTCAGACATAAATCACGGCTGTCATTGGTCAGAATACCATGGGGCGGTGCTTACTGGATCGGTCCATTCACATGCTATGAGACACAATCTTGTAAAATAGTCGGACTGGTGGATCGGCAAAAGATCGGGGAAAATAAATTAAAATATTCAAAATATTCTTGTAAATTTCGTAGGTACACGTATGTATTCATTGGCAATGTCCCAACTTCTAAAGCTACATTCGAAAGTCCAAGAGCGGCAAGTCAAGTTGAATCGACATCAAAAGTTTCCAGGGTCCGTACGTGAATGACAACTGCGTAGTAGAAAATTGTGTTTTTATGAATGGCATGAAGTGACTGGTACTCGGCGATTGATCGTGAATGTAGTGTTGAATCGTTTACCAGCGATCCATGCCGCGATTACGTGACCATCAAAAATGAAATCGCGCAGAGAAATTCTATGTATTCCGATATGATTATCACGCTAAGAGAAAACAACAATATTATGTTTGGCGACCATTTCGATGGAAAATGTCAGTTTTTCAGGGTGGTTTCCACAATATTTTCAACTGTTTTGATTGATAGTGCCGAACTTATGTGAGCTCTGATTTTGATCTTGCGTGTTTTCCGCAGGGGAAACAAAACTTGTCGACAGTCGATCATTTATTTTATTGTGTTTCCTGCCCAAAACGTGACTTTCGTTTTATAATTAAATGACTATAAGAAAGCCATTACACCCACAGTGACCTCATTATTTGCATTTTCATTGTAATGTTTTCGTTTGTTTTGTTAGGTTTTTCTAATTTTTAATTAATTTGTTTTGATTTTTTTTTATTATTTTTTTGAATTTTTTTGCAAAAATTACGGGAATCAATTCCGAATGGAATCGCGATTCCCAGACGGAATCGGAATCGATTTCAAAAATGCTGGATTCGCCCAAGCCTACTTTGTTTTGGGGGGCCTGGGTATAGCACATTTACCATCACATACTATGTACCTTGTACATTTTCACCCTTTTAATGTGTGTGTACTTTTTACATTGTATGTGTTTCATTTCATATATGACTTCATAATGTTCGTATTCGTAACGAAAGCACAATGGGGTTTTAACCAGTTCGTGCCGGGGTTATTTTGACAAGAATGGAAAGAGGCGCAGGATCATTTTTCACCTGACCTTACATGTAATCACCTTCAGGTAGCACATCCTAATATTTCCAGCCTCGCTCGCTGCCTGTTTATCCGTCATCCATACCCAATACCGCAAATCTTTGCGTGTATACACATCATCCGGGGCGGTTAATGTACTGGTTAATGTACGTTTTTTGTACATGGCCTGTCAACATGGAATTTCATGCAAACACCTCCCCCTTCCTTTATAAGAGTACATGTATGTGATGTGTATTGGGCCAGCCGTGGCTGTTATTGTATGTGTTATTTACTTGGTCGCAAACACACTTTGTCACAAACCAAACGTCTGAGTGTATAGAGGTAACATAAGGGTCGTCCCTTCTTACTTTGTAGGTTCCCTGGCCCAAGTTGAAGAAGGCCCTGCAGACTGTGCTCTTCAACCAGGTCTTTGTCAACATCCCCTTTGCATTGGTACTGTACTTCTTGATGCAGTGGCGTGGTTGCAATATCAGTGCTGACCTGCCAACATTCAAATGGGTCCTGGTGGAGATGGGTGTCTTCCTGATCTTTGAGGAGATCGGATTCTACTACTTTCACAGGTGGGCAGTTAATATTGACCTGAATAGTGCATGCTTCCATGCTTGTTTGTGGCTGCAGGGATGAGCAGCCGCACACTATATATACAAGGAATGCCAAGCAAATCCTCTGATATGCAATTGAGCAGCCTTCAAATCCTCCCCTTTGTCATATGGAGAGTATTGGCCAACCAGCAAAAATTGACACTCTAACACTGTCTGAGACAAAGGGTTAAAGGATCATCTTGACAACCAGGGGAAAATTTTAGGATAGACTAAGAGACGTCTGAGAAAGAGACTACAACTCACGACTCACCCTAGGATCCAATTCACCAAACTTTAGATGCATTCACCATGTTCTAAATTCTTTAGCGATGCCGCTGTACTCATCTACATGTACTTCAGATCGGTCTAAGGGTCATCTTATATCGTGATTCGGGAATTAATTTGTATATCATCTGGAAATCAGTTTCGGCCTAAGGGTATTGTCGTGACAGTTCAAAAAGTTAATTTGAAGGCAAGAGGGGGAAAACTGCTGTAGAAACAGTTATGAAAAGATTTCTGACGTGCGATTAATTATAATAATAATTCATTTCTAACTTATAAAATGTAATGATATACATGTAGGCCTACATGTACACCTAATAAATAACATTCCCCGTTATTATGGACAATCATAATGGAGGGTATCAATGGTATCCTGTGAAGTGTGACTTTGTAATTAATGCTATAATTATAAGCAATAATTATTTTTCAGGTGAAACGTCATGTTCTATGAACGCACAAGAAAATTGGTTTTGCGTGTTTAATTCTTATTAACGTCCGTCAAACATAAAACATCTGTCAAATTGGCAATTTGGTCCTCGTTCAATAAATAGCAATTCCCTTAACTGTATTTCCTTTACGTCTTTCTTTAGGCCAAAAAAAAAAGTCTCCGGATTCTGGTATGCGCGCGCGTCGCCGTAGCCATGCGCGTCGGCAAAATGAAAAGTTTTTTTTTCAATGAAAGATGATGTCTCAAAACCGCCAAACTCACTGGTTTGACTGGAATTCTGCTGCTGCACAATTTTAACGTGTTTTTAGATGGGGTTATGGTCGAGAATAAGCTTTATGTGGCCTCTCTGGACTCCCATACATTTGCACTAAGTTTAGTCGGGCACCATTTGCAGTCATCAGCCGACATTTGAAGCAAAAAAATCAGGTAAAAAAAAACAAAAAAAGCCGCGTCGCCGCACCACTTTTTGGGCAAGCTCCATACCAGAAACCGGAAACTTTTTTTTTTTGGCCTTAAAGATGCTTTTATTGAAATCGGTCCTAAGGTGCATCTTAGCTTAGAGGATTGATCTTATAGTGGGGACTCGTATTAAATCTGCAGACGAGTCGTAAGACATGATGAGTTTCGTGAAATTTGCCCCAGGAACATCTTTGTTTCAAAAAACATGTCTTGATCTTACTTTCCTCAGGAAATATTTTGAACACCTCTACGTACGTGTACTTGTACGTAGATTTACATGTACGTAGATTTACATGTACATGTACGTAGATTTACATGTACATGTACAATGTAAGAGTTCACCAGTTCCAGCATGATACATGTACTAAAGTTTTCAACAAAAATTGAAAGTTGAAAATGGAGTTGTCCCAGCGCATGTCGTCTTTCAATTCCAAGTTTGCTGAAGTGAATTAGACTGCTCAGTGTACACGATGTTCTTGAGGGAGTTACCTTTACAGGATAATTAATGCTCATCCTCAATCTTCACTGTCAATAAGTTCAGGTGGACACAATTTGTGGGGGGAAAATGAGAAAGGAATTTTCAGATGTGGGTTGTACTTAAATGTTTTGTTTTCACTTAATTGACTCAAAACAACAGTACTCCTTGTACTGAATAACAAAACTGAGATGGTGATTTTTGTCTTATACCCAGACTCCTGCATCACCCACGAATGTACAGACATTTCCATAAGAAGCACCATGAGTGGACGGCACCTATTGGAGTGACAGCCATCTATGCCCATCCATTGGAGCATATCCTTGCCAACATGCTTCCACCAATCATTGGCCCCATTCTGATGGGATCTCATGTGTCTGTGTTGTGGGTATGGTTCATGATGGTGGAAGGCTCTGCCATTGTTGCTCACTGTGGCTATCATCTCCCACTCCTGCCATCGCCAGAGGCTCATGATTTTCACCATTTGAAGTAAGTCACACTTAAACATTTTTTTTCCGAAGTCCAAAGTAATATAAAAACAGGAAACAAAACGGCCATTTTAAATCTCTTAAGATTAACTTCATAGCCATAGTGCCCAATAAGGAACCCTTGTCCCTTTCTTTAATGCAAACATGTATGTGTCAATTTGCGTGCTTTTAGTTATTTTTGAAGAGGGAAATAAATGCAAGTAAATTGGCTAAACATCCCCAGCATTTCCCATTTTGTTACATTTTTATCTTCAAGTAAACTTGAATCCTTGATCCTGATTGGTTGATACATGTTAATACATGGCAACAACATATAATTGTAGCACGGCCACGGTCCATACCGCTCACATTGCGCTGTGCTCAGATGCACTCGCTATTCCCTACAACACGCACATGTAATAACGTAACTTCTGAAAAGTTCAAGTACATTTTTGTACAGTGTGCGTGTTCAATTTTCACTGCAGCTGTGCATCAAGTTTGCTTGAAGATAAATTTGTTTTCCCACTCCCGTTTGTGAAAATGTAGTCTGTCTGCATCTCACTACCACTCGGCTTTTGGCCAAATGCATGTCGGACACAGATGCACTACATTAAATTATTCCGTGTTCCACGACCGGGAGTGGGATAACTAATATTATATTCAAGTATACTTGAATCCTCCATCCTGATTGGTCGATCCATGGCAACAACAGTGTGATATGAGGCTGTGTTGCACGGTCCATATCGCACCCTGTGTATTGCGCTATTCCAAGATGCGAGCGACATTCCAGCTGCATGCGCTAAACTGCTGAGATGTTCATGTAAAGTGGGCTCGTTCCAACTGTACTGCGCGTCAAGTTTGCTTGAAGATAAATTCGTTTTCACGCTCGCGCTCATGCAACACAGAAAATGTAGTGCGTCTGTGTCCCACATACCACTCAGCCGGTACACAGACGCACTACATTATTCCGTGTTCCACTCACGCTTGCAGGATAACTTATAATATATTAATTATTAATAAGATGGAATTTGCATCGGGGTTATGTAAATTCAATATTGGGTTTTGCCCTTCACCGGTGTACATATTTTATATAAACACTGTATACTCAAGTATTTTCCTGAGTAATTGATCTATGGCCGTTTGCGAGTTAATAGCCATGCCCCTTAGACAACCCCATTGGAAGTTTGGCTTGTCTCAGATTTTGCACGTTTGGGTCCACATCATGTTACTGGACAATATTTCACAAGCTGCGTTGATGCAATAGCTTAATTGTGCGCTAGTAAGCAGGAGGTCACGGGTTCGAGTATCACTTGGGACAACACTGAGTATACAGTGTTTATAAAAATACATTGGTGAGTGCATACAGCTCTCATTAACATGTAAAGTAACATGGTGGTTGGACTGTACCATGCTCAAGCTTTGTACATGTTACATGTGGCAATGCAATATTGGGTATTGTTACCAAGTATTGAATTGTATAACGTGTACAAAGCTTGATAACTTTATGCACTTGTAATTGCCTTAGACTCCAGCTCATTGGTGTATTTTGGAGGATTCCCATGCGAGACGACTCTTGACAAGAATACCCTGGACTTTAGTGTTGAGAAATGATACCCATACATGCAGTGTGAAGTTCTATACTTGGGTACCACTAGGGTAGTCCGTTATTCCATAAAGGAAACACAGATAACTGATTGATTGGATTTCTTACGGCAGGTTTACCAACTGTTTTGGCACCTTGGGATTTCTGGATCGTCTGCATGGAACCGACAATCTCTTCCGTGAGAGCAAGAATTACTCGCGCCACATCCTACTTCTTGGTATTGTGCCCCTGTCTCAAACCATCCCAGATGATCTGAAGGGCAAACGCAAGGCTTTGGAAAGCAAGAAAACAGACTAAATCTGACAGTAAAGAATCATGATATGTTTGATGGGGGTGCTGGGCATTGTCAAACAGGAGCAAGTCTAATCAAGAACCATTGGTCAACTAGAGGTTGCTTTGTAGCAACCATGTAGGGGAGACACAGCACACATAGGATCCAAAGTATACACAATCAATTGTATTCAGATTGTACATAAACCCATATCTCCAAACCTGATGAAGAAGACAAGGTACATGACAAGTCAGGACCAACAGCTACCCGGCATATTAACACTGTGCACTAGATGGAATTCAAATATGACTACCCCACATAGCAAAAGTAAGTTGAAATAGGTACCCTGCACCAATAGACCACCATCAGAATTCCAAACCAGAAATACATACTTGTACTACTATCTGTACATTACAGGATTTGTTTCATTGCCTAGCACCCCCATGAAGTTTGCTAGAAAATATGAAGAAATGATGGCATCTGTTACTGTCATTAGCAAATCTAACGTTATCTTTTGACAGAAGAACACAGATGTAGATGTTATAAAGTGGCATGTACAGCCTCATGTAAGAATAAGCATCCTATTCAACTAAGGTCAGGTTTGTCCTCTGTGGTAAACCTGTTTTCTTAAATTGGTAAATAGCGCTTAATTGTAGAAAAAAAGAAAAAAAAAGAAAAAGTCTGTGAAGTTGACGGACCAAGTTATTGGTTAAAATATAGAAAATAGTCATTCTCAACAAAAAGGACATGTTTGCATAAATGATACGATATACATGTTCATTTACATATTACTTTGGAAAAGGATGGATCTTACCGTAGTTGTGTCATTCATGTATGAAAAAGTACATGTGCATGCTATATTGTAAATTGTTTTCCTATTTAAATTCTTATTTTAATTCATATATATAATTATGTAGTGCTGCTATATTTATCATCCACATGCATTCTTGTAGTTTATGCCATTAACTCTTGTGGCTTTTTCATTTGAAAGAGTTTTAAGGGCATTCTTACATTTAAAGTTCACGTACTTGAAATGTACCCATTCACTTTAATTATATCCATACAGAGACAGCTGTTTTTTACCCAATACAAAAAAAAAACCGGTTAATATTTAAATTGTTATATTATCCATATACATGTACAGTAGTTAGAATAGTTCATGGCAAAACACTTGACACTGTGACGTACATGTTAATTTTGTGGTTTTCCATAATGAGAACTATTAATTCAGGAAAATTTTAAAGCAAAACAATATTGAAACTGGATGGAGAAACAGTTTCACAACCTACCGGCAGCTGGGTGCTTGAAAAGGCGTGGGGATCCTCCCTTCTGTTGTTCTCTTAATCACTGAACAGCTGAGCTGCTGAGCTGAGCGTAGTGTAGGGGAGTTTTGATTGACCCTACAAATGGCCTATTAGTTTTGCAACATTGAGGGATTTTAAAAAAGGTGTTTTTTTCAAAGGAATGTCCAGTGGCGTTAGAGTGTAAAAAAAAAAAAAAAAAAGCCCCAGAAACATTAACAGCTGTACCTGGTCTTCATAGTCAGGAACAGATAATACAATTTTCTTTTACCTTACAAATGGAATTTGCTGTGCACAAATGACCAGTTTTCAAATACACTCAAATGTACAGTAAGTGTTGATGGATTTTATTGTGACAAGACTTGTTTTGGTTGTTTTGGTTTGTTGCAGTGCAGTGTGGCTGAACATTATGCTATAAACAGCAGTGTGCATGTATGCAATGTGATAATATATTTTAAAGAAGGTAAGACTGGTGTTGTTACTGTAGCTACAGAGTAGATTTACTGATGTCAGGAAATTTGCAGCATCAGAGCTTACTGTTTTTAACTAACTTGGGTCTAACATAGTTTTAAATTGAGTATGACTACATGCCAACTTGGGTTAAATGATTAAAGTTGTACGTGGGCAGGATGTTTCAAGTCATTGCTTTATCGCATTGGCATATAAAGCAGAGATTTTGATCTGAATATGTGAAGTACATGTACGCATGTACATCCATAGAAATATTTCTTAACAATTAGGAATGATATTTCCATGATACAAAATTGTATTAATATCAGCTTTAGATTTTATTAATATTTATCAGCACAACAATGCAAAGAATATTGTGTGAAATAATATACATGTAGGTATGAAATAAGCGTTCGTTATTTAATCCTAATATTAAGTTGCATGATATGAAGATAAAACTATGTAAATAAGCAAACTCTATTCCTTCCTGTCCAGTTGGTTAAGTGACTTCATCACACACGCACGCACATTACTAGCGCCCATTGGATAAACATTCACATTGCGTCAACTTCCGGTCCAATGGTTCCAATGCTACTTAATGTGCAGTGGGCGTAGTTCAAACTGAAGTGACGTCACACTAACAAACCAGATAAAAGAGACAATCATTTTGAGGGGATTGCTTTTCAAAACTAGGACCTAAATTTACCATAATCATATTTGGTCCAATTCCTCTTGTATAATTTTTTTTTTTTTTAGACATTTCATAGAATAGTTGGGGTTACCTTGTTCATGTTATGTAGATCCGACATTCAGGGTTAAAAAAAGTGTGTGATAGCCCTTAATGTCAAACTTTACTCACTTCATCTGTTTTGTGTAGTCATAGTTATGTTTGCAATTACATATATTTACTGTTGCAGTTGGTGGATTTGCCAGGACAGCAGAATATTATTAACTGTTCATTTTTGCGACAAAATAACCTACTAATAATGCATAGTGTACTGTTTGTTGTAACACCAAAAAAAAAGCAATGAAATATGGCATCATTATGCTGCAATACTGTGGTCTGCAAAAGGTTCTCAGAACCAAGACTAGTGGGTGGTAACATGTTCTTAGATTCAGAAAAAAAACAAAAAAAAAACTACTCGGCAGATCAGTGGAAAAGGAGCATTTTTGATACCAGGTCGGCAGAGAGTTGTACTAGATTCGAAATGAAATCAATGGTACACGGTGGTCAGGTGTGGCTTTTCCCTGGGCATTTTTCGTGTACACCCATGGTGTGTACAGAGATTGACACACTATGCATGTTCTTTTACTTGGTTTAAGATGGTATGCAAACAAATAAAATCAGTGTGTTGAGATCCTCACTCATTGATGGACATTATGTCTGCAAGAGTGTCATTACTTAAATTGATTTACATATATGTACATGTACAAGACTTAACATTTCAAACAATACAGAACACACGGAGACGAAGAATGCATTTTTAATACATGGAAAAATTGACAAATTGCTTGACTTACTTGACTTACTTGACTTAATGCTGTCCTCCCTTGGGTTCTGAAAGAATCCTTGGAGCTAGCAGCCGCTTCACTATGGAGGACCATTCCCTTCTGTTTCCAACCAGACGTCTCGCTGCACAAACCGTTGGAATCCCGACTTCTTGGCAGCTTGATTTGATGTTGTCAAGCCATCGTTTAGGGGGTCTACCTCTGGGTCGATGACCTTGGATCCTTCCCTCGACTGCTAGCTTAGGGTATCTGTCGTTTGTCAACCTGATGATATGTCCAAAGTAGGACAGTTGTTTGGCTTGGATCTTGTCTACTATGGTGGTCTGAGAGTTGGTTTTTTCTCTGATGTTAGTATTTCTTATCTTGTCCCTTCTGGAAACGCCCATGATTCTTCTCAGGCATAACATTTCGAACACCAGTAGTCTGTGTTCGTCTTTTTTCTTCAGGGTCCAAGACTCGGAGCCATATGTTGCAATTGCTAAGATGAGTACTCTGTAGAGCTCCATTTTTGTGCTTGTGGTTATTTCTTTGGATTTCCAGATTGGTGTTAGTTTTTGCATTCCTCCCATTGCTAGACCAATTCTCCGTTTTATGTCGTCCGAGCTTGTGGAATTGTCGGATATGACACCACCAAGGTAAGTGAAGGTTTGTACCTGATCTAGCTTCTTACTTTCGATGTAGATTGATATATCTTGTCTTTGTCTGCCAATCACTTGGACTTCGGTTTTGCCGAGGTTGATTGTCAGGCCAAACTGCTTGCTCACCGTGTGGACTTTGGAAACAAGAGTTTGCAGATCTTCTTTGGAATCAGCCATTAGGACAATGTCGTCGGCATAGCGGAGATTGTTGATAATGAGACCCTGTAGGTTGATACCAACGTCCACATCATTTAATGCCAGGTTGATGACAACTTCCAATAGAATATTAAATAACTGAGGCGATAGGATGCAACCTTGTCTTACTCCTGTTAGAGTCTCAAACCACTGTGTGGTGATGTTGTCGACTCTTACTGCGCTTTTCGAAGTCTTGTAGAGAGCCTGTAGGAGACAAACAATCTTGCGTGGGTACCCTAGGTGTTTCATGGCAGCCCATAGTCCTTCCTGCCAAACAGTATCAAATGCTTTCTGGTAATCGATGTAACATAGGTAGAGGGGTTTCCCAATCTCTGCATACTTTTCAGATATTTGTCTCAGAGTAAAGAGTTGGTCTACTGTGCTGCGGCCTGCTCTGAAGCCTGCTTGTGACTCTGAGAGTATTTCTTCAGTCTTTCTTTTCATGCGGCTGTGTATGATGCTACAGAAGACTTTTCCTACTAAGCTGAGTAGACTAATTCCTCTGTAGTTTGCACAATCTAGTTTGTCCTTCTTCTTGAAAATAGGGACAATGATAGCCTTCCCCCAGTCTTCTGGTATGGCTTCGGTTTCCCAGATTTTATTGCTCAGCTTGTGGATGATGTCTACTCCTGGGTCACCAGCTGCTTTCATTTCCTCCGCTGTGATACCATCATATCCAGCTGCCTTTCCTTCCTTTAGATGTTTTAAGGCTCTTTCAACTTCCTCTCTCATTATGGGGGGCTCATTGTCATCTGTCTGGGTGCTGGGTATTGTCTGGATTACAGTGTTGTCTGATGGGCCTGGCATATTGTATAGTTCTGCATAATTTTCTTCCCATCTTTCTTTGATCTTTTCCTCATCTGTTAGAACATTTCCGTTTTTGTCCTTAATACTTTTCATCCGGAGGGCTTTCTTCCCAGTAAGTGTCTTGATGGTCTGATACACTTGTCTCGTTTTGGATGCATGGTGACAGTCATCAACTTCTTGGCATAGGTTTTTGATCCAAGAATCCTTGCACAGCTTTGATTTTCTCCTTATTTCTCTGTTGAGGTAGTTGTACTGACTGTTTTTTGACTTGTCTGCTAGTTTCTGTTCCTGGACCTTTCTTCTTTGATCACAGAGGTCCAGTACTTCTGCTGTAAGCCATGGTTTTTGAGGCCTGGGTTTTATTGTACCAAGGACTTTCTTGATGTTTCTTGGAAGCTGCTTTTAATACCGTCCCATAAAACTTCAGCGTCAACATCAGTATCCGTGGCATTTAGAAGAGGCTCGAATCTCCCACCTATTCGTACTTTGAAAGCTTCTCTGACATTCTTGTCTTTCAGTTTTTCAATGTCAAATCTGGTTTGTCTTGCTGATTTAGGCTTAGCTTTTAGTCTGAGCTTCATGTTGGCATGGACAAGTTGGTGGTCTGAACCAATATCCGCGCTTGGAAAGCTCCTGGACATGGATATGCTACTCTTCCATCTCCTGTTGATGAGGATGAAATCGATTTTATTTCTTGTGTTGCCGTCGGGTGATTCCCACGTCCATTCTCTTGAATCTTTTTTCTGCTTAAAGAGTGTGTTTGAGATGCATAAGTCATTTAGTGCACAGAAATTGAGTAGTCTTTCTCCTCTATCATTGGCATCACCTAGTCCAAATTTCCCAAGAATACCATTCCAGGATTCCCAGTCTGTACCAACTTTGGCGTTGAAGTCAACCATAACAATCTGGATATCCTGAGAAGGGATTTGGTTTATTGCTTGTTGAAGTTGATCGTAGAAACTATCAATGTCTTCATCTGATGAAGCTGAAGTAGGTGCATAAATCTGGATGATAGTTATTGCACCAATTTGAGTGTGTAGTCTGGCTGTAATGATCCTTTCAGATATTGGGTTGTATCCGATTAACGCTCTTTGTGCAGCTTTGTTTAGTAAGATGGCCACACCTTCTCTGTGGGTGGTGTCATTTCCAGAGCACAAGAACTGTATTCCTTCCTGTCGTAGCTCCCCTGAATCACACAAATGGGTTTCTGAGAGGCCGATTACCTCCCATTTTAAGTGGCTCAGTTCATGTAGTAAATGTTCCAGGTTTCCCTCTTGGTGTAGGGTACGAACATTCCAAGTGCCTATACTTATGGTACACTTTGCATTTAAAAAGGCTCTTTTCCCATCAGGTGTATCGACAACAGTCCTTCCAATTGGGGCTCGGTCTGGTGTTCGCCCTGCTGTAGGAGGACCATCATTCCTTCCAATTGGGTTTGGGATTGATGCGTCATGATGCTCTGCTACTTGCAGGCTCTGAGGTAGTGGAGTCTGTCTGTTTGTCGGGGCTTTAACCCGAGTGCTGTTGGATTTCTTCATAGTTATGCGGTTTCAGCGGTCTTTGTAATTCCGTCAGGGCGAAGGACCTTGACTTCTCTCCCTGCCTATCAACGTGCTGGGTGTTTATGACGCTGGTTGCTCATAGGCATTGAGACTTAGTATACCTAGCCACCCTGGTCTGTTCGTTCCTGTTGAACAGGTCAACAGGTTAACAACCCCTACCACGTGAAGGTAGACCAGGACGTTTACCTGTTGTCTCACAAGTCGGTCGTCCCCACACTCTACATGCTATATTACGTGCTAATACTACTCTAACAACACTAGCATGCACTAACGAGCTACAAGGGGTCGGACTCCTCCTTGTACGGTCCATCACATGACTGCGATAAGAGATACAGGCTTGACAAATTGCATACAATTTATAAGAACGACAAACGAGAAAATGGCATGAAGAATAAGCAATGGCAATTGGATGGATTTTTGACAAGCATCAAAAGTTATTCCGATGTGATAAATATAACTGATGAACAAGTTTGATTAGATTTTGGGAATTATTCTTCCTGTGCAAAATGCATTCTTAAAACACATGTATGTACGTACCTCACCTTGTTTGAATTGGTTCAGCATCGCTAGTCAGACCAATCAAGATCAATGCAAGAAGTGCATGTGAGGTACTGCATCAATAAATGTAATTATCTTCAAGAAAACTTGTATCCTCGATTCTGATTGGTCAATCCATGATCCAAACAAACCAACAAATTTAACATGACAAACCTTACTCAACTAGTACCATACGGTAAAATGACTGGTCCACGTAGGAATGAACCTTAGTCTGATGGCCGCTGAACCAACCTCTTCATCATTATCTATTATACCAGAAATGGTATCGCTTGGAAAAAAAAAACAATTGAAGGGGTTTACACTTTGACGATATTGATTAATTACTGCAAAGATAACCCATCCACTGGGGCCATGACGCCACATCCATGTACACTAACAAGTTGAAAGAGTACAATAGAGTACTTTACTCTATTGCGCAATGGCATACAGTACGGTACAATGTGGATTATGCACGTTGTTGCATTGTTTTACGTGCGTCAGCTCGGAGTGTTTGTGTAAATATGCTTCCATCATGGCTGCGCCCAACAAGTCGATACTTTCGCAAGGAGATTGATCAGTGCGACTGCGAGAGCTTGATAAAGAAGTGAAAAATAAGTTCCGGTAGGAATGGTTTCGGGACTATGTTATTATTGACGGGCATCAGCATGAATTTCAAGAGTGTCTCGATAAAATAGCAACCCGGCACTGGCAAGGTTTTTTGCAATGTTTGCAACGACATTATCAACTACGCGTCGAGTGGATAGAAATAGCTCGAGTCGTATCCCATGTGAAACACCCAAAGCACACCAAAGCATGGCAAATACGGCGAGGTAACATGAAAATGCATAGTTCTCAACTTTGAGTACAGAAGAAACTTTATAAGAACAAGAGTACATTTTAACAAATGAAGGAAAATTCTTCTTAACAATTAAAACAAATTCTGCTCCAAAATTTCAGAGGAAAGTGCCCAGTAATCGCCTCAGATTGCACCCCAGATATTCTAAAATCAAAAAAATTGGGGGCCCTTAAGCGGGCCCCGGACCCGACGCCGTAATGGCTTCGCACTCGCCAGAGTTTGCACTTCATGCATAACATTTTCCAGTTTTTTTGTCACAGACCAATCACATCCCTGACAGTACAGAAGTGTGACGTCAGCTGTCATTGTTCTGGATCACTATGGTTCACATGCTGATGTCTTTACACACTTAAGCTGTGCGCACGTGGAACAGAATACGCAGCGCACTTCGGTTCTTTATGTCCTTAGTGCTGAATTTAGGGATAGTAAAGGAGAGGGTACAATTCAAAATATAAAACCAACGCTGTAACAACGAAATCCACTTACAAGACCAAAAATACACTGCATTGTTTTCTCAAAATGTATTAGGGTCTTTCTTCAGGGTCAGTTGTTATGCACACTACACAAAACTTGGAGCAATTATCGCTGAAAAGGGGTAAAATGCACAACATACTAAAGATCCTATGTAGCTTAAAGCATTCTTGAAGCTAGTCTTGGCCCAAGACGTCAGTTATCGATAGTGATTGTACGTTGGAGAGCATCAATGTGATTGTTGTAAAGCGCCCTCGCACACTGCTTTTGATAATGTAATGTTCTCTCACTAACATCTTGGGAATCTTGCAGCAATGGCACGTGGCTGTCTTATGACATTTGATCGTCACAATTCACAGTTGAATTCTGCATAGTGTGTATAATTATATGCTGCGCATATGTTTAAAACCGTTGCATGACAACTATAATTTTTTTTAATCAGCCCATCAACGGCTATCATTTTGTAATCACTAATTGGTTACCTCAGAAAGCCTAGGGAAAAAGTAAGTTAAACCGCTACTGCAGGATTCCCCAGATGCTAGTGAGAGCAGGCGAGCTGCTCTAATCGTGAAACAAATTTCAGTGACTGCACGATCCACCATCGATCACTATTCTCTTGGCCCAAGACTTACTTGAATTTGAAGTCAACATTTTGTGAGGAGTGGATTTTTTTTCTGATAAAGAGTACACTCTTTTGGCATTATGTTGCATGCTTTGCCACATAGAATGTGAATTGACGGCTTAATGAGTGAGACCATTGACAAGTGTTCAGGAGGGGGTGCAGTTTGTGCCCCCCCCCCCCCCCCCAGCCCACCAAGTTTAAAGCTATAGTCCATCATTTGCAGCCATCCGAAAAGTAACTGGCGTAATTATTGTTGAAAAACATACTTGGTTGAAAGATAGTAAGGGGACTAAACTCCCTGTGAAATTATTCTTTCTGGAAAGCTGTCATTTTGAAGTAATCAACGAAAGAAGGCCTTTCCAACGGTGTGTCTTAAGACGCACAGTAGGAAAATTTAAATTAGTAGTTCGTTTTGTTATTCGGCGAAGCGCGCGCAAGCATTGGCTCGACGCACGCGCGCACGTTTGCTATAATTCGTCGGATCAGTGCGCAACATCGCGTATAGCTGCAATCGGCTCAGTAGAACGCGTCTCGGACGCTGAATTCAGGCCCAATTCAAAACATGATTCAGCAACTTTTGATTTGAAATTGAGATCCTAGAATGCTGTTTTTCTCGGAATATACAGCTGAAGCTGAGCTGAAACTTCATCAGGTTAGTTGTTCAGTATCCTTCATTAGATTTTGAAAACTTTTGTTGCTTCAAACAAACAAAATGCACAAATTACAAATGATGGACTATATCTTTAATAACTAAGCAGGGCTTGAAGTTAGTCAAGATGTCTGCCTTCAATAAAATGTACTACTGACCAGGACGTACTTTGCTATAGGAATTGCAGATCTGGGAGTGGGCACCAGAACATGTACCACAATAAGCCCCTCAAGCATTCAAAAATTGACCAACATAAGAGGTATGTTTGGACATACAAAACAAAACAACCTTGGCTGTTATATTTATAATGTTGCATGATACCTTTAAGTGTCTTTAAGTGTGATACCTTTAAGAACTAATTCAAAGTCAAGCCTAGCTAGTACACATGGTACATCACCAGCGTAAGTAGGAAGGTTGATTGTGGTTGAGTCTATCGCACTTCAGCTTTGCTAAGGGTTGGAGCCACACACACACCCTTGCCTTCAACTTCCAAGGGTGAACCCTTGTAGCAAGCCACCTTGTTAGCATCGGTCCTGAGGTGAGGTTTGATCTGCTCAAATATCTTCTTCTTGGGATTCATCTGAGGAGGGAAGTTGTCCGCCACTACAGAAGACGAGGACAGACAGAAATACAGGAGAACAAGAGAAAGAGAAAGCTTTTGTAAGTCCCAGTTTGATGACGCATAAAGTATTAGTGAAGTCTAACTAAACTAATGTTACAGTTTTTAGCAGCGGGATAGTAGCTCAACAAATCGTCTTGTTATACCACGGTAGTAGACTGTGACTTTTTATTGGTCGAGAACTGAGCATGTGATGTGCCACAAACACACATGTACTGTGTCGGGGACATATACCTCGTGGTACATGAGTGATGTACCCCATGGGGTACATTACTTTGATCATCCAAAAAGTGTTGTTTCCACCGTCTTGTATAATAGAAATAGCCCGGATGACAGGCTTCAGATAGCGCACACACACGTGCATGCGTACAGGCATATTTTAAACTCAAGTCATTGTATATCTGCAATTTCAGAGAGAAATCCAAGTATGACTAGGAATTAATCTTGCTATGCAATACAGTGTACTTATTCATTGGAGCTTTCACGGCCATTTGTCAACAACTTTTGCTGGTTATAAGATGGTGATTGTTTCCTGGCCTCACCCAACCCTCTCATCAATGGGCAACACAGGGAGGGCTCCGTCCACCCTTCTGATCTCAAAAAGGCAATGACTGATTTTTGTGAAAATTGCAGTGACTGATTTTTGTGAAAATTGCAGTGACTGATTTTTTTTTTAAAACTTGTACACTAGTCAAGGCATTCCTGCTGATAAGCTGATGAGATTTGTGTCGGAATTGTGGTAAATCAGACACAGCATTTTGTAATTATCACGTTACTATTCCACGCTTCCATCAAAAAATGATTGTGGTTTCTAGACATGATGGTCAATTAAAAAACAAATGATTTGTCCTACGTTGAAAATTTGAAATATTGCAAGAATGCTACATGTATACCCTTTGACGTTGATGAAATTGGTGTAATTATATCTGCAAGTTTCGGCTTTACACAAATCAATATTGTGCGGCGATGAAAAATGATATCAACCCCCACCCTCATCCCCAGGCCTTGGATAAATGCTTCTAAGCAAAAGGAAAATCATGTAACTCAATCTATGAAAGAATTCATGGTATATAACAATGCATATCAAGGAAATACATGTAATATCCCATTAAAAGAAATAGATGTGAATTTGAAATAATTTTTTTCTGCCTGTCCAATTTCAATGCCCAAGATTTTGGACACACATTTGGTGACTTGTGACCCATTTGGTCATTGAGGGCCCAATTAACAGGCTGATGTTTGCGTGAAATGGCCCGTGTAATTACTCCCATCCATGCAGGATGACTTGCCTCCCACCATCCACCTGTTGGATCATTAGCAAATTCATTGAAGTGCCTCCTAATGATTGGCCTTTAAGATCAGCTTGTACCGGTAATGCAGTCATCCAATTTCACTCATCAATGCGTGGGCCTACTGCAACAATCACCAAGCTTTATTAAGTTACCGGTTCTAGAGTGCTTTTCTTTTGGCATTTTAAATCCAAGTGGGTAATTGAAAAATAACTGAATTTAGATGGAAATGAAATTTGGAACAACAGTACAGTATGACTGTACTTTCAAGCCAGGTTTGATCCTGGTGTGGTGTATAGAGTGCTAGATGCCACTGTGGGCTACCGTACCCCAGCAGGAAGCTGGGCAAGCAGTGTGCTCTAAACCATTTTGCTTGTTGCTGTTTGCTTGTTGGAAGGATACATGTAATAATAAGACATGTACCGTATCTCTCAAAACTAAACTGAGAGAGTGTACATATAGTAGTGAATAAGCATTGTATATTACATACATGGATATCCCTGGCAGCTGACGCGATCCCCTGGTACCACACCCTTAGGAGGGATGAGTATCTCCACTTTATCATCTGTAGCAGCACACATGACCATAGCCTGGCTCAGCACCCCTCGCATCTTAGCTGGCTTGATGTTGCAACACATAATCACAAGACGATCTTGCATCTGTCAGTCAAAAAGAACTGATGACAATTGATCAAAGTGACATGACCCTCAACTGAAACCTCACCATCACAACTACCGGTATCTACATGTACATGTACATGTAGGCAGATTTCGGCAATTAACCCTAACCACCCCAACTCCATCAAAATCCATACCCCCATTTTGGTGGATTTTGGGGGACTTGGTCCAGAAGGCCTGGCGTGACGAAATATTGATGGAGTATGAAGGACTTGGGCCTAATGGCCTGAAGCAGTGCTTGGAGTATCCGATTGATTTTGCCCAGCTTCCTGTACTGCTATTGTGATAAAAGCCATGTGTAGTCTATGAATGTCAACGATGTCAACCAGGTGGATTCCATTTTGTCATGTACAGTTTTGTATTGGACGCATAGTGATTGATGGATTTTGATAGACTTGGTCCAGTTCCTAGTAAAACGGAATACACACTTTTCTGAAATGGAAAGTCATTGGCCCTAAATTAATTCATAGTGATATTGGGAGCCAGTGCTTTAGGCAATTCATATCATTTCAACACTGACCTAAACATTCACAATTCTTATCACTACCATAGCCAAAGTCAGTATCTTATGTTGAGACTGTTTATTGGCTTTACTACACAGTAATCAAGTTTGCGTGCCAGAATAAGGAAACTCATTGTAGAACTTTAATGACCATTAATGACTTCTTTGAAATTATAATTTAAATAATATCACATTGTGGGGAAATCATAAAAAAATATCCTACTTTGTGTCGTAAACAAATCTGAACTTTCATCATGTTCATTGGAAAAGTCAAAAAGTCGGTTTTCTGTACATTATGTAGAAGTTTCCATTTTGACCTTTAATTTCTCCTAATCGAAATGCTTTTTCTGTGACAAGACACAAACAACATGCACTTCAATATGGTATATTGACAGTAACTCAGACAATTATCAACTCTGTCTTAATACCAGTTAAGCTTTTTGTTACCACAGTGTTCTTAGACTGGATTTTATTTGGACACCCAATGACAATGTGGCTGAACTGAAGATGACATGGTTTAGCCTCCACTGTATACTAGGTTTGGGCGGTTCCAATCTTTCTGCAGCTGGTTCCGGTTCTCAAAAAAGAACCGGTTCCGAGTCGGAACCGGCTCCCGAAAATTCAATGAAAAAACATAAGCTCTTGAAATGACATGTAAAGAATAACGGTTTCACCTTGTGAGGTCCGTGTTCCGTGGATTTCGATGTGGAGTTCATGAATATTCCACTACGTATTTGGTTTCAAATCATGAATTTTTGTGTGAAACTATTTTTGAAAGCAAGCTTAGCGTTTATTACTTATTCTCTGTTCCTTGCCTATAATTGTATTTAACGTGACAACCGCCATGCCGCTGAGAATAGAATGATTCACTTCGTACACTGTACACACGTACACTGGTACCCTGCTTTCAGTGTACATTGCACAACTACATGTACTGTAGTGTGGAACCGGTCGAGTGCTGGAATCGGCTCTGATGGACCCGGGTAAAAAATACATAGGCCTAAACATACAGCCAATTCCAGAGCATAAAAATGGGACTCCTGTGAAAATCGGACTCCTTGTTGGTTTTATTGGTTAAACCCTCTCACGTGATCGGTCCTTTTCCTAACTATCTTTGCATGACATGTGCATTTCCTCCTTTGAGTCCGCATTTCATAAAACCTAAAACACTTCACCGCTTGTCCAAGTAACCCCGAGCGGTCTGGCCACGCCCCATGCATGTTTATTATCCATCGTACAGGGCCAGTATTGGGTTCAATGCTCTATATGCACACCTCGTGGTTGACCGCAAACTCAAAAAGGGCTCTGTTGAGCTGTTTGTCTTTGACCCGTGAAATATTGTTTTGACTAGTCGGCCCGAGTGAATGTCCCGGGCCGCGCCGCCACGATTGATTTCCTGTGGAGCCGATTCTCAGCTTTGGATTTTGTGCACAGAAAATAGGTAATTTAATCTGGAACTGATTCTTTTGGGCCCGGAACCGACGATAGCGGGTACCCGGTTCTTGAAAATATTGGACTCCCGGTTCCGGTTCCCATATTGGAACCGGTTAGAACCGGGGAACCGCCGGAACCGCACAAGCCTGCTGTATACCCAGGACAGTCATGCAAGTACATGTACACTTCATAAACATGTACTGGTTCACATTGGTACATGTACATGTGTACATGTCTGCTCTATTAATATTGCGCTATACATGTATTTGGAGGGGTCTTGCTTCAGTGTCCTCACCTCTTCAAGGGTGACATGCTTGATGAGTCCTGAGACCACAGTCCTTGGAACTGCTTCGCCTACGTCTACCTGCTGTAGGTACAGCGTGTCTGCATCAGGGTGTTTCTTGACGTCTATAATGCGACCAATGCGCAAATCAACTTGGGTAATGCTGGGTTCATCAGTGGCTGCACGCTGGACATCAGCTTTCTCTTTCTTTTCCTTCTTTTCTGTTTCAGACAAAACAGAAATTGCACAGTAAAACAAGGTGAGAGTACAAATGAAAAGACATTTAATAATGCTACAGTAACTTCATACAAATTAGTCATGTTAGTCCTCTACACAAACAGATGGACTGTTGAATTCACAAACAGACTGTTTCAATGAAAATAAGTAGATAAAGATCACCTGTATGAGTCGCTCAAAATACATAATTTTGGTTGGTGCAACTTCGGAACGCGGGAAACAGATGTACATGTACATGTCAGATAAACAATTTGCAGCAACCTAAAATCACTTGTGGACATTGTCTAGGCTTACATTGTACGGCAAATCATGATTCCAAAAAAAAATGTTCACTTTGCAAAATAGACTATGAAATCTGTTTCTAGCCTTAGAACAGTATAAAAACTAACATGTTTCATCTAACATGTCTAATGTATCATGTAGTGAATGACAAGCAAAAAAGATGTAAATGGTGAAGGATTCTCCCGAATTCTCTCAATGATGGCCTTCCTGACATGGTAGTATTTACACTTGAAAAGTGTTTTCCTTAAAAGAGATTTCAAGAAAACATTAACTGTTTAATTTAGCATGGTAACTCAAGCAGAACATAATACCTCTTTTTTTTTTAGGTACAGATGACTGGTTGACTGCACACCTAAATGTGACCTGTTCTGTCAAAATCAGACTTTTCTGGGCAAAAGGTCAAAAATGAGATTTTGCATATTGTTAAAACATGTTCTTTTTCTTTTTAGGCCTAATAGGTGGTTTAATTTTTGAAATCGGTCATTCCTGGGCAGAGTTATGCTATTTTGAAGTTCATTGTGTCGAAAAGTAGAAAACGGAGAAAATGGCCACGAACGTCACAAAACAGTATTTTCTTTAACTGATATACCTTAACAAATCATCAAAAATACTATATTTAGAGTTCGAAAGCGTTTTTTGGCCCCATCTTAATTTCAACCTCTGCCCAGAAGCGTCTGCTTTTGACAGAACAGGTCACAAATGTATGGAAATCTTTGCCTCAATGAACTCCTCTGTGGTCCAAAAGTATGACAGAAGAGCTAAACCTAGAAGTCACTGAACCCCCCCCCCCCCCCCAACCAACCACCCTGCCCATTACTCCCAGTGCAACTCACATCCGCCCGAGCACTAAAGCCTATGCCTTTTCCACCAGTGTTGGAGAACTCGTACTCGAGTACAACTTGAGTACACTTAAGTACTTGGCTCGTGCTTGACTATCAGTACTCGAAAATTATGTGGACTCGGCCCGTACTCGATTCTTTGTACAATTTTGGCACGGACTCGTTGGTTTGGACTCGGTACTCGACCCTAGTACTCGGGAGTAAAAATCGAGCACATCAAAGAACTCGGTACTCAGCTTTGAGGACTCGACTCCAACACTCTTTTCCACTAAACCAAATTTCGGGGATGGCTCTGTGGCAATGCGGGGGTGAAAATAAGCCATATTTCACACTTGTAATTCTCACCCCTGCACCACCTCTGAGATTTTATCCCCGGGGCCAGACATTTCCCCTGGGCGAAACTGTAGTGTGAACCCTCACCCAATTGGGCTGTACACCTCTTTAGTTGGTGTAGTTTTAGTGCACATGTGGTGCACACCAATTGTGCACCAGCTTTATGCAAATGATGTGACTACACCAAACATACATCCCCAAATCTTAGCCTTAATGTACATACACCAAAAATACACCACATTAAGTTGGTTCTCAAAGCAATAACAAGCAGGGTTGAGTTCGCCCGGGGCAAGCATCGGAGGGTTCAAAAAGACACTAAACATGCTAAAGTTTGATTTTGCAAAACTTCATTGGAAAATAAGGAACATTGCGAACAATGCGCGCTTTTTGGTGGCTTTTCGACCCAAGTAAATCCAACCAAAGTTCATCAACCAACAGCTTGATCGATTATAATCATACATGACCGTTGTAAAAAAATCCAATAAAAACGTTGGGAAATGTACCTTATTTTTTGACATGAAAATCCACACTCGCTTTTAATGTATTTAATGTTTGGATCAGTATTAATAAGTAATTATAGTGAAATATATTCAGCCTCATTCCTAGCCTGCATCTGAGCTCGACTACAAACATCACGCAATATTCATGTGCACGAGTATATTAAGTGATATGGTTTTCCGAAGCCGGAACTACATTGTAGGAAATTCATGCTTGCGCACGGTGAGAAAATGTATCAGAGTTTCAAAGATACAATGCAATAAAATTTACAAATATTAAAAATCAACACAATATAATACAATGTAGTACCGCTACCGGTACTTCAATGGGTTTAATACAACTGCTCAATGTTTCCTACCTTTCTTGTCTGTTTTGGCTGTCTTTGGAGCTGGCTTGGCCTGATCTGCAGCATCTTTACTCTTTAGCACAGGATCTGACATTTGAACTTTGACCTCTGACTCTTGCATCTCGCCATTAGCTTGACTTGAAAAGGGCCTAGGCAATGGTATCTGGATACCTGAACAATATACAGTCAATCAAACAATGTACAAACTCATACTGTTCAATGTGTGCAAAGAGTTTCATTTTTTTTTCAGCCTCTGAAAAGTTTGTGAAATGGTCGAAATCTCAGCAAAATCTTATTAACCCTAACGTACCGGGGTACCTGAATCCATCAAAATCCACACTCCTGTTTCGGGAGATTTCGGCGGATTCAGGATACCTCCATATTGCACAAACTGGGGGATTTTGATGGATTCAGGATTGTAACTGTAAGCCTAGCAGAACTGCAAGATTTTTATGGATTCAGGTAGCCCGACTGCGTCTGGCCGTACAGTACTATCGCAAGCTCTGTAGTACGGCCAGACGCTGAATGCTTCCAAAATGACTGAATTTTTTTGGCCGCTGATGTAGCGATTTTGCTACATCTTTTGATCGAGATTATCTTTTCATCCAGGACAAAAATTTCCACAGTTAAGGTTCTTAGTCGTAGAGCAACTCATACCTTTTCGAAAAAACGTTCTTTGGTCTCAATATTTTCATCCATCTGGCCAAAAGACGACTTTCAGTCATCATCTTCCACAAATATCGTCCCGAAAATGCTCCCCCATGCGATTTCAAAATGGCGGCCGCGCTGTAACTCATGAATATGCATAAACAGTCTGTGACGTATGACCTCGTGTTTTTCATTATTATGATGGCTTAAAATAAACTTTGATCATTATTGCTTATCAAAACCCTTCTGTCAACATAAGCTGCAATATTGGCCGAGATATTGGCTAAAAATCAAATATCTGAAAAACCGACACTTTAGAATTTACATATTTACCTGCCAAGGACACACATAGTTACTTCGTGAATGGTCTTCTAATGATACCTGACTCTCAAAACATGGGTTTAGAAACCTTACTTGTGTAGTTATGTGCAATATTGGCCGAGATATTGGCTAAAAATCAAATATCTGATAAACCGACACTTTATAATTTACATATTTTCATGCCAAAGACACACATAGTTACTTCGTGAATGGTCTTCTAATGATACTTGACCCTCAAAACATGGGTTTAGACACCTTACTTGTGTAGTTATGTGCTATATTGGCCGAGATATGCCAAAAACATGACTTTCCGGTATTTGCGGCACTAATTTGCATATTCCTATGCCACAGACACATGTGGTCACTTCCAGAATAGTTTTATTGTGATCTCTGACCTTGAAAACATTGGTTTAGACACCTAGTTCGTTCCATTATCTGCAATATTGGCTGAGATATAGTTACAAATAGATTTTTCGGTAATGGCGGCACTAATTTGCATAAAAACAATACGTGGGACATTTTTTGAATTTTTTAACATAGCAAATCGTTTTCTACGCATTTTTTCTGACCTAGAAACGTTGATTAGAAATTGATTTCCGAGGGTGCACGATACCCCCCTTTTCCGACTGAACTAATAGGGATGTGTGTGAATTTTTGTTTTGCTGAAGGAACGCACACCTTCTTTGTGATCCGTGGACAGAACCTTACAACGGTGGTTGTGTTTAAAATTCCGTAACTTGAAAAGTACATGAGTGTTTTGAATGATTTTTGTACTAAAAGAAACTGATGAATTGGGTTTTTATATCCTAGATTTTGAAAGTGCTACATGCAGAACTTCAATAAAACAGTAGACCCGACTATTGGGTTTCGTTTTTTTGGACTCACCCTGTATACTGAGCTGTTGGGGGAGTTTGGCGGATTCAGGATCTCAACAGATTTATTCCCGCCTAATGCGCAAGTTCCCCCCCCCCCCAGCTGCCCCACCCAAGATGTGGGGATTGTCACTTTTGAAGTAACAAAATCCCCACCCCTTGGGCAAAATGTAAGTGACAATCCCCGACCATGCCCTGACATACATACGTGGGGCGCACTACTGATTGCCGTACCATGTAGTGTGCCAATGGCAACAATGTAATTTGAGTGACCAAAATCCCCACCCTGGGGCATGAAAAACATGATCCAATCCTGACATCGGACCTGGGGCAGCGCGGGGGGAAGGGGGGGGGCAGCGCGGGGGGAGGGGGGCATGCGGGGGGGGGGGGGGGGCATTTGATAGGCACATTACTGGTGGATTCTGATGGACTCACTGGCCACCAACATTTTTCTTGCATGTCAAAATTGACACGGTTGTACATAATACTAATTGAGAAAGCTAGGATACCTTGGACATGTTGGAAGATCAGTCCATAGATAGATGAGTCAATACGACTACAAAACATAGTTCATCTGGCCACAGTCAGTGGCCGTGTCATGCGCAGAGCCCTGTTTGACCTCAATTTCTTGTCCAGGGTCATGCACGCATGGCCCAAAAGCCTACGCGAGATTTTACGAGACTGCATTTGAGACCACAGAAAACTACGTACAACTAATCGGAGTACCCGGTACCACTATCAGCCAAGATGACGATGTTAGTTAAAAGAAATTGTCAAAATGCATCGAAATACTTTTTTTGAGAAAAAATACCTCTAGATAGGTTTATGTAGTAGGTCATTTACTACCTAAAACAGCTTTGTTTGTCTTGATTGGTTGTAGTTTGCCATGACAATTGCCAATTTTCTGAAGCCCTTTTTAGGGCCATCGTTCGCTAGCCTCATGTTGCTGTCAGTTGCGTGGATGAGAAATTAGAGCAGCTACGCGTGACACGGCAAGTGACTGGCCATATTAGGAATAATAACCAACAAGTCTCACGATTAAACACAGTAATCATAGCAAGTGACTTACCACCATGACTGGTCTCCAAGGCAACTACATTGTAGTCTCTTCAATGCTCTCTGCACCTCAGCCTGCAGCTCAGTATTTTCAGCTTGAAGGCTGGCCTCCTTGCCACCATTGTTGGAAACTTCACAAGAAAAAGGCAACGAGAAAAAGCTATGAGGCATGATGAAATGCAAGATGCATTGTCCTTGCTCTATGTGTGTACACACACAAACGTGTGTTCACCGTCGATCGTGGACATCCTGTCCCTCTTTTGTTTGTACTCTTTTTTTAGGAAGACTTCCATATGTTTTGTACATGACCCCAATCGCGGACGTATGCTGGGAATCGTGGACGATATTGTTCTCTTTTGTTCTTCGGTATTTTTCGTCCACGGTTTAAAAAGATGAACCTGTACACTAAAACAAGTGCGTTTTTGTTTAATATGGAAAGTGTGCACAATATGCATGTACAATGTGTACATAAGCAAAAGCCATGGGGTGCTACTATGCAAGTAATGAATGACGAATGAAGTTACATTTATGTCCATAATTTGTATTCAATTTATTGGGTAACATATTTCCTGAGTGGCAATTGGTTTCGAACAACCACACAGATATCACTCCATTCAATTCTACTAAATGAACCAAATCATGCCACAATGTACAATGTACATGTACGAGTAAGTGGGCCTTTCCACACTAATGGTCTGCAAACGACTGCACACTTGGGATTGGCGAGTGAAACATTAAAACTAGGCACAACAAAACAAGATATTTTGCTCTGCTTTTCCCTACATGTACATGCATAAGAACATATACAGGGGTCAGTCACCATACAAACTACCTGTACATGGACAGAGTCTTGACTATAAAGTGACAGTTCCATTGATTATCACGTATGTACATGAAAGTACTCCAATGTTGTCTCACTTATTCAACACACATTTAAGATTGCTACCAGCCAAATTAAACACAATTTTCTTCTTTAAGTCCTTGATACATGTACATGTATGTAACGTTCATAATTTTACCACCAATTTCTGTCCATGTTACGTGCGTATGTAACGTACTCTGGTCATAATAAATGTTAATACACCGTACGGTAGATTGTGTTGGTTTTTACGGATAATAATCATGCAGCGATAAGAATGAAAAAAGAATTACTGTATGTATTTGGGTAAAAAAAACATTTTTGTATTTATCATTTTCTATCAATATTAACAAACGTAATTGTCCTCTGAGCAGTCTTGTAAAATTTGTCTGGAAAGTCTTACACTCTTGGTGAGCACAAACCTCAACAATGGGGTGGGAATGTACATGGGGAAAAGAGGACAAACAACTTGCTATTATTATGCTGCTTCATTTCCCAATCCCATGTCACATGTTTGTACATGTATCCCTTTTAATAGTGTGAAATGAGCAAAATACACATGTGTTGCACATGTACAATGTATGTCACACAACAAAGCATACAGTGTCTACAATGTACAAAGGTGGGCTTGAAATGCTGAAAAAGAAAGAAGCTTGAAAACTTCCACCATTAATTTTCTCCAGAACCCTTTCCTAATACAATGCATATCAAATATTTCCATCATGTACACTGTACATGTACATTGTGTACGGTACATTCTTTCAAATGCCTTCATGGTGTTTCTAGAACACCTTTAAGCAATTGGATCACATGAACATTAGAGTGATTAGTTTTTCCCTTTCCTTCAAGAGCTCCTTGATCCTTGTCATCCCAGTCATTTCATCACTCCTCCTTTTATTGGGTCTCATCCTCCTCCACCATTATAAATCAGTTATGGAGCGCACAAGAAACTACTCTTTTCAGTTGGGCACGTTCTGGCATGTCATGACATATGAGCTGATCAACTTATCTGGATAAGCCGGTGCCTGGTTGTCCCCAAGGTTTGATGATTGAAAGGCCAGAAACCACTTCATTTTAATAAGGAAATTGTCATGATGGCTAGTCCATGATGGGCATTTCCACACTAATGAGCCAATTAGATAAGTTTATGGATGTTGCGTATTAAGGGTAAAAGATATGCTAGTATTTTCTTCAGTTTTGTCCAATATCTTGCTAAGTTGAAAGTGACTAGGACAAGACAAGACAAAAGATGATACCTTGGTTTATTTGAGAAAAAAGCATGCATCTTTTCTGTGTGATACGTATGTAACGTGGACAGACACACTGCTAGGGCCCAAAAGTGTGGAATTGCCCAGATACATGTACCGTAGGTTGTACTGTGAGACACTATATGTACATGTATGCAAGTGCTGGTAGTGGCATATGTCATGCTGTGTATACATGTACCAGCAGTAAGAACTACGTGAACAAGTATAATTTTCAAGAACAATATAAACAAGGTAGAGACACTTAAGGCTGCTATGTACACGTTTGTTACAGTCTTTCGGCGAGTGCAAAGAAATGTTATTCGCACCATATAACAGATCCTAAGCCAATCAAGATACAGAATCAGTAACATACTTTTTAATTTAGTAATCATGGTGATTTTGCATTTATGCTCAACTGGACATTATACATGTAATGGTGTCATTCATAAATACCTACATGTAAGACAGTTTACCCATTCCTATTGGTCGAGAGCCTGTCACGTGGCCAGTCTTATGTAAATGGATGATAAAGACATGGCTAGCTGGTCTTAAACACTTTTCCAGTGTTGCATGAAATTTGGACTCCTAAAAATCCAGTGCCTCTTACTGTTTTATTGGTTGAGCGTTCACAATCCGCACGTAGGCATGCGCAATACTACGTACTACAGTACGTGCGACGCGCATGCCAATCTCCATAAAAGGGGTTGTTTACATCTTATTCACAAGCTAGACACTCCATTATTTAGCTAGAGGGGTGTTTAAAAAAAACATGAAGTGAACTTGTTGAAGAATATCAGGGTTTTTTGACCGAAAAGTTGATTTTTTTTTTACCAGAAATAAATATGTGCTTGGTGGGTATTAATCACTCTGTTTAAGACCGCTTGGAGTCTGGGTGCTGATAATTACCCTCACCAAATATCAGCACCCAGACTCCAAGCGGTCTGAAACAGAGTGATTAAAACCTCCTGAGCACACATTTATTCCCTTATTCAAATGTTGCTTCATTACAAAAGTAATCAAATTGGTCACTATAGCCAGACTTTGTAAAATGTTCATATCAGAGCACCTGTCTTTTTCAACAATGGAGCCTTCTTCTTTCATTGTCTTTCCCATCGGTGTTTGTATTTGGCGGCATGGATTCAACTGTGACCAGGTGACATGATCTACAGTGTACTCATGGGAACATTCCGTGGAATAATCAAATAAAAAATAAAAACCTCAGTGAAAAGCCTCAACAAATTCAAATGCCAAATGAATCATGTACGACACGTATCGTTTTGAATCTTAGTAAAGTAATTTGTTGAAATAAAAATGTATAGTTTATTCCTAACACTGTTTTATAACAATTCAGTTGTTACTTCAACAGAACAATTCATGAATAGGTAAACAATAAAATCATTTGCCTGAGTACATGTACATGTACCGGTACAATGTATGTCCGACACCATGGTGTTTCAAGACGCTTTCTATTACAGAAAAAAAAAGATGGTAACTAACTGTTCAGGGTTCAGACCACTAGCCATGCTAGCTGCACAATATTTGAAAGACTTTATCATGATCACTGAACATCAAGAAGATTGTCATAATGTTTATTTCAACTGATGACAATAAGTAAAATTAAAATTCCTTAAATTTTGGAGTTAAACACTCTATATGTAGAATTAAAAATGGCATTGATTTGACTTCAGGAGCAGAAATTGCTTCAATTTGGCAGGAATAACAAAAGTGATATGACGGAGAGAAAATAAATTAAATTACAGCTGATGCCACTTTTCATTTTGTTTAATTCAATCATTCTGAAACACTAGATCCTGAAACTGGACACTGTTTTCTGCCAATGATCGATTCTCGTTACCTGCAGCTTTCTTCAGCTCATTGAGCTGGCTCTTCAGGCGTGCAATGATCTGATCTGCCTGCTGTGCTCGCTGCTCAAGACGTTCCATAACCGCTGAATTTCCAGACATGGTTGAACGGACGTATCGGCCACAGCGAATGAGGAACCTGTTAGATTAATAAAATGTGAACAAAGACAAATGCTCAGAAAGCATACATGTAGCTGTGCCACTGGTTTCTAACAGATGACAGCCACTGGACATGCTAGACTGGAGATCAGCCAACATTTGATGTAAACAGATCAGAGAACATGTCCTACAAACCTACATGTACGTGTAGCTACAGGACTCTTATAACCCATTTAGGAGGTTGGACAGTTTTTGCAGGGTTGAGGCAGGCAGACAAGGCAGAGTGCAGCCACTGCATGTACCTGTAATACAGTAACTTCATGTGGAGCTTGATGCTATTTTGAATGGATGAATTAAATTATTATTTTAATTACACACATGTATGAACAATAACAGAAATCTAGGATTTCTTCCATGGGCATGTTCAGGCATTCAAATCGTGGATGAAAAACGCGAGGACACACACGTGCAACATCATCGATGAATCAAGGACAGGAGCCAAATCAAGGATTCCTCTATTAGAAATGTGTACAAACCAATGAGAGCTGTTGTAAGAAAGTTAAAGTGTAAACAAAGGAAAAGGGAAGAGGAACAATAGAAACTCCTTGATGTACACCATAACCAAACGTGTGTGTACATGTGTGCACAGCCACAATCATGGGTACACTTTCTGTAACAAACTGTCAGACTGAAAATAAACTACACACTATTTATAGGTCCAATACATACAAAATTTGTTTTTCAAGCCACCAGGAAAAACATGTGGCAGAGCTACAAAATTAAATGAAAGTGTCCCTAATGACATTTAAGGACAGACAAAGTTCATAGAACTGCAACTGGTGTCCTATTTGATGTTGATTTAGCATAAAGTGAGGAGCGTTTTGGGAATGGTCATTGTCCATTTGAAAGCTCTAGGTAAATGCTCCAACATGCTGAAGAAGATAATACATCGGGGCAGACTGTGACAAAAAATGATAATTCTCTGATGGACACTGTTATGAACAACAGATCAACACTGTAATTCCTGTAACTGACACAACAGCTACATGTAAGTAAACAGATTTTATAATAGTAATACTCAAGGCTTAGAAATTATTAATCTGTATTGACAGAAAAGTTGAAAATTAAATGAATTTTTGTAAATACCCCCGGTATGTGACTTTTTGTTTTTGAAAGATGTTGTTCATAAGAAGACACCAAAATCCTACATTTTGTATTATGTGATACTAAAATTAAACCCCCTAGGTGACCCCCAAGACAAAAACCCAAAATGTTTGAAAATTATTTTTTTTTGGGAGGGGAGGGGAGGCAAAACTGTGAATCTGTTCTTAATATCACACTGTCTCATTTAGTGCTGATTTACAGCTGGGGAGTCGGGTTGGTGTATCGGTAATTTCCTCGCCTTCCACCGCTGTGACCCGGGTTCAAATCCAACATTGTGACCCGGGTTGGGCCAACATGTGGACTTGGCTTTCAGTCTTTACCTGATTCCGTGGGTTTTCCTCAGAATATTCCTCTTGGCTTTTCCCCCACCTCTAAAACTGTAATTTCTTCTCATTGTCTTCTCTCCACAGGTTTCTTCAGGCTTTCGAGCTACAGTGCCTAGGGCACTTTTGAGAAATCCTAGTGGTTTCATACCAGAAAGAAATGAAAAACATGTGTATAACAGAATGATCATGCTTCACTTTCCCAGTTCCAACATGCTGCAGAAACGTTTCTCTTAAAATAACCGTCCTTTGTGAAAAAAATATGAAACAATTCTGATTGTGAACAGCATGTCATTTGTTGTTCACAAAACATGTGGTGTCTACTGTTGTTAAGACAAGATAAGTTTGCGGTAGCACCATGTGAATTTATCTCTTTTGTGAGTATGTGTGGTTCTGAAAAGAACCGGAGGGACTCAACGTTTCAAACAGTATGCTCTGCCCATCGTCAGGAGAATGAGGGATTCCAACGATGATGCGATGTTAAGGATGGGTGCGGTGAGGCGTGAGAAGGATGCAAACTGGTGAAGCTCAATACCGGTGAAGCTGAGAAGGATGCAAGTTGACTGAAGGATGCTGGATGATCACTGGAGTGTGTCAGTACACAGTGTAACGGGGAAGGAGCTCAGGGTATAGGTGACCCATAGGCAGTACGTGGACGACACCTTTGTCATCTGGCAAAACGGGCAAGACAACCTCCAGCTCTTCTTGGAACACCTCAACAAGCTTCACAGCAGCATCCAGTTCAACATGGAAAAAGAAAGAGATGGCAACATCTCATTTCTTGACGTTGAGGTGTCCAGAAAGCCAGACGGAAGTCTTGCTTGCAGTGTCTACCGCAAGCCCACCCACACGGACAGATACCTGCACAGCAACTCTGAATCAAACACAAGCTGCGCTGGCTTCAACGAAGTTGTGTAACAGAGAACATTCTCACTCTCGATATTTACAAAGCAAAACCCATAATAAAAGAAATCACAAGGGCATGAAAATTTTTTTAAAATACTTTCATAAATTGTCAAATTTGCTTGTAATGATGTGAAACACTGCTATCACTCAGGGTGCCAGGTCAACTCGGTCCCACTCCCAAGTCAAATCATTTACGTTTTTTATGAATATCATTAAAAGGAGGTTTCCTCAACTACACAAACCCCCAAAACTCAGATTTTCCACCCCAAAAATTGTCCCATGATCCAAATGTCATTTTGTCTAAAACATTTGAGAGTTATGGATCAACCATGGTAACTGTTTGGGTGGATTTGTGTTTCAGAAATTGGAATTTCAGACATAGGTATTTCGTCTATCAAACTTCCAACATGTCGAAAAGCCATAGCGTACGTATACTTGTACTGACTCCCCTGAAAAATCATGTTGTAGAAGGTTAACAAGGGGTGCCTTCTAATTCTTGAAGTACTAGCTAGCACAGGCGTAGCCAGCTGGGGGTATTAACCCCCCCAATATTTTGTAAAGACTGCCATTTTCCATTCAAATGCCTTTTTTTTCACCAGCGCTTCCTCCCCCCAATAATTGGTAAAGAGTACCCTTTTTTTCCTGAACAAGTGCCCTTTATACAAAAAGTGGTTCCCTTTTTTTGTGCCATCGCCGTTCCGGGTGCCTTTTTTCTTTAATTTCACGCATGTTTCGCCCTGAAAAGCACCATATACATGTAGGCTAGTCCGAGTACACTGTGTAACTAGGACTCTATGATTGGCCTTTTTATTTAATGATCGTTAACTTGGTTATCGTTAAGATCGGAGTAAACCTAAAGTTTACACAACCTAGATATACCTCACGGTATATCAAACGTTAAATCTGACACCGTGGTAGCAAGGAGATTTCGACCTCTCAAAGGATTTGCCTTTGAATGAGCATGACGACTATTTATAAAAGATATAGACATATATCATACTCGGCAAGAGGGATAGTCAGTGAAGGAACATGGGTTAATAGCATAGCGTAAGAACGGGTGAAAAATGCGGCAGTACATGGCAGACTACAAATTAGAAAACAAAGAGAATGGATACTTAGAGGCATCTATAAGATACACGGTCATTGACAATAATATGATTCATTTTTAAATATTTAAAATCAAATTTTATCAAATTAAATTGTAATGTTTGTATTTATTTTTATGTTTAATTTTTTTATTATTATATTAATATTTTTAATTTCTTAAAAAACTAGTTGATTTATTTTCAACAAAATGGATTTTTCAACAGGAGGACAGTGTCTATCTGGCTTTGAGTGCTGATGAAACATCGGGGATGAGGCGGTCTGTTTGAGAGAGTCGTGACTTGGACCTGAGCTGTCGAGGTATTGATTATGGTAATAATTTGTTTTTGTAGAACATTTAAAATGATAATAACTAATCTATATAGATATTTGAGATGGAGATAATGGGCATAAAAGTGAAGAAAACTTATTTATGGAGGTGACTAACCATCTTGGCTAGGAGGATATATTTGGGAAGGACATATGGAGGTGACTAACCATCTTGGCTAGGAGGATATTTTTTAGACGTGAAATTTGGAGGTGACTAATCATCTTGGCTAGGAGGATATTTTTTAGAAGGGAAATATGGAGGTGACTAACCATCTTGGCTAGGAGGATAGTTTTTAGAAGGGAAATATGGAGGTGACCAACCATCTTGGTTAGGAGGATATTTTTTAGAAGGGAAATATGGAGGTGAGTAACCATCTTGGCTAGGAGGATATTTTAGAGAAGGGAAATATGGATGTGACTAACCATCTTGGTTAGGATGATATTTTTTAGAAGGGAAATATGGAGGTGACTAACCATCTTGTTTAGGAGAATATTTTTTAGAAGGGAAATATGGAGGTGACTAACCATCTTGGCTAGGAGGATATTTTTTTGGGAGGGAAATATGGAGGTGACTAACCATCTTGGCTAGGAGGATAGTTATTAGAAGGGAAATATGGAGGTGACTAACCATCTTGGTTAGGAGGATATTTTTTAGAAGGGAAATATGGAGGTGACTAACCATCTTGGCTAGGAGGATTTTTTTAGAAGGGAATTATGGAGGTGAGTAACCATCTTGGCTAGGAGGATATTTTTTAGAAGGGAATTATGGAAGTGACTTATCATCTTGGCTAGGAGGATATTTTTTAGAAGGGAAATATGGAAGTGACTAACCATCTTGGTTAGGATGATATTTTTTAGAAGGGAAATATGGAGGTGAGTAACCATCTTGGCTAGAAGGATATTTTTTAGAAGGGAAATATGGAGGTGACTAACCATCTTGGCTAGGAGGATTTTTTAGAAGGGAAATATGGAGGTGACTAACAATCTTGGCTAGGAGGATTTTTTTAGAAGGGAATTATGGAGGTGAGTAACCATCTTGGCTAGGAGGATATTTTTTAGAAGGGAATTATGGAAGTGACTTATCATCTTGGCTAGGAGGATATTTTTTAGAAGAGAAAATATGGAAGTGACTAACTATCTTGGTTAGGATGATATTTTTTAGAAGGGAAATATGGAGGTGAGTAACCATCTTGGCTAGGAGGATATTTTTTAGAAGGGAAATATGGAGGTGACT